AGACCATCCGACGGCTCTGATTTCCCCATCACGTCTCACACCCCCTCTCCTTTCCGAAAGAAACGGCGATGCAACCCAGAAGGAAAGAAGCAAACACAACACCAGCATAGTGTAACGCATAGGAACCATTGGAGCGATCGGCGAGGCGACGAGATTTATTGCCGCGAACGAAGGATTCCTCCTCCTCTTCTTCTTCTCTCGATCTCCCGTCACTGTTTCCTTCTCTAAAGGGCCGCCCTTTAGGACTCGAGCGAGGGGGGCGTCAACAGGGTGTTGCCAGCTGTGGATTACTTGATCTACCAATCCGTTCGGGGTTTGTTTCGCTCGAACTCTGCGTCTCTTGAGCTTTCCCGATCCAAAAATCCCTTTTTTGTTCGAAAAATCCCGTCTTTGGATTCGGCCTTCTCGAAATTTGGTTCCTTTCCGGATCTCTACGAGTGCCATTTCGGTTTCTTGTTGATAGCTTTCTTTGCTTGGGGTCGGAATTGATGTGTTCTGTGCTTCCTTTTCTCTCCCGTTTCAGCTGGGTTTCAGGATTGTGGTGTGGGCTTTTGGATTTCGGGAACCGAGAGATCGAGAAGAAGAAGCTTCTTGCCGTCGATCGACAGTGGGTTATCTGTTTGATGAGCTCAATGGTTTGTAGTGTCTTTTTCTGATGCTTCTGTGATCAGTTGCGCAGGGATGGGAGCTCGTCTCGTGGAAGGCGGAAGCTATTGCCATGAACATGAACATGAACATGAACATGCATTGAACTTTGATTATTATCATTTTATAATAAAATATGATAAAGATCATCAGATAAAATACCATTCCCAACACAATCAGATTTATGTAATAAACGAAATGATGTATCTTTAAAATTAAAGGAATACCCAAATGGTACGAGTCTGGAAACATGAGATACTTGGTACATAAAAGGTTCTTTCCAATTTTAAAACAAAATCACTACTTAAAGTTAAAATACATGTTCCAATTGCTTTCACATGTGAGCTCATCTTATTTCCTGATAAGATGCTTTGCTCACTTCCCACTGACTTCCTTAGGTTTTGCATACCCTGCAAAGAGTTTGCAATATGGATTGTTGATCCAGAGTCAATCCACGAGGTGTTAATATTAACATTGACCATATTAGATTCATAACATACATATGAGGTAAACCCTTCTTCATGTGTTCCTTTCTTTTACAAAAGAAACACCTTGCATCTTTTTTGATATCAGCTTGGGGTGGTATTTTATCTTTTCCCTGCTGATGAGCTTTTTGATTGGCTTGATGTTTGTCAGTTTTGTTTTTCCCTCGAGTGGTTACTACCAATGCACTCTCACCGAATTCCATCATTAGCCTCTCTTCTTCTTGAACACACATGGTCATTAATTCATTGATTGACCATTTGTCTTTATTTGTATTGTATGAAATTTTAAAAGGGCTATATTGAGGTGGAAGGGTGTTCAGAATATAGTGCACCAGGAAGGATTCTGACATATTAACCTCAAGTTTCTTAAGTTGAACCGCTATATCTCGCATTTGCATTATGTGCTTACGCACACCCTTTATGTTGGTGAGTCTAAGAGATGAAAATTTCATAATAAGGGTACTTGCTAGTACCTTATCCGAAGTGATGAATTATTCATCAATAGCTTTTAGCAAGTCTCGGACATTTTCATGCTGATCAACAGAACCATGTATGCCAGCAGTCATCTTAGTTTTGATAAACATCACGCTGAGCCGATTGGATCGCTCCCATCACTCATATAACGTGATCTCAGTTGTAGTGCTGGTATTAGTGACTATAGGTGGTTCGTCTTTTCTTATAGCATAATCGATATGCATCCACCCTAAATGGAGGAGAACTCTCTCCTTCCATATCTTATAGTTATCACCATTAAGTTCGGGAATATCACATCGAATATCAGAGAAATTAACAGTTTGAGAAACTGCATAAAATCAAACATGCTTATGTCAAAATTTGAAGTTTAACAGACTAAATTACATGTTTTACCAATGTGAAACATGTCAAAAATATGAATCTCATGACATAAAAATTGCCTGTGGCCTAAATTCTTAATTCAAATAGATTCATATAGTCTTTATGATAAAACTCTTAAATTATATTCTAATTCATAATCCCTGTAGGTAAATTATGAAAATAATCTGATATTTTATCCTGATTAATTATATTAAATATAATAAAAAATCATGTGGGATAATAATTATCATACGAAATATAATCAATCACAATATGATGTCTAATTACTTATGTGATACTTATTTTAATTATATATATAATTTTAATTAATTAAAAATTAATTAAATAATTTTTCGAACAAAAAGGGGATTTTTGGATCGGGAAAGCTAAAGAGACGCAGAGTTCGAGAGAAACAAACCCCGAACGGATTGGTAGATCAAGTAATCCATAGCTGGCAACACCCTGTTGACGCCCCCCTCGCTCGAGTCCTAAAGGGCGACCCTTTAGAGAAGGAAACAGTGACGGGAGATCGAGAGAAGAAGAAGAGGAGGAAGAATCCTTCGTTCGCGGCAATAAATCTCGTCGCCTCGCCGATCGCTCCAATGGTTCCTATGCGTTACACTCTGCTGGTGTTGTGTTTGCTTCTTTCTTATGGGCTGCATCGCCGTTTCTTTCGGAAAGGAGAGGGGGTGTGAGACGTGATGGGGAAATCTTTAAAGTGCGAGTTTCCATTAAAGAGAGGATTATATTTGTTAACATAATCTCCATCCACATATATATATATATATATATATATATATATATATAATATTTTCTTTCTTCCATTTCAATCTTTAGCAGATATGGTTAGCTAAAAGAGATGGATTAATTTGAGAGGTTAATTCCGTTAGCTAAAAGCAGATATGGTTAGCTAAAAGAGATGGATTAATATGGTTATATATATATATATATATATATATATATATATATATATATATATATAATATTTTCTTTCTTCCATTTCAATCTTTCTTCCTTCTAAATTATATAGAATAAATCATTTGGTCAAATATAAGCTTAAATGTTTGAGATGTTAGAATGCTCCACTTTATTACTATCACCTAATTTTCTAATTTTTATCAAGTTAAATATTTAGTTAAATCAAGCACATATTTAGTTCAATCGACGGTCAAACTTAACATGATCCCTAATCGATCTAAATTATTAAATATATTGATGGAATCGATATAAAAAATATTTACTATCGTATTAATGTGTAGTATAATGTATGAGTTTACGACCTCTTCTAAATATTATTTCCTATAACTCGTATTGGGTTTACCATCAATTTATATCTCCTAAAATCTCTAATCTATTGTCAAGTCAAATAAGATCAAGATGAAAGACAACCTTATGGGGTCTAACCTATCAATTATATTGGTGGAGTCAATATAAAAATATATACACCATATATATATATATATTACGAGTTACCAATGGCAGGGAATTATCAATAGCAAGCTTCATTATCTTTTCCTCTCCTTTTAAGCTTGATGATCATAATTACCGGAGCAAGCATCGATTATACTCATTGGTTGGACCGATAGGTCAATTTATTAGATCATAAACGTAATAATTTTTTTAAAAAATAATTAATTATATATTATATTATATTATAAATAATTAAACATATGATAATATTATAATAATATTATTTTTCAAAATGGAGCAAATATGTCAAAGAAACGAGGGAACAAATATAATAGGATTTTAGCATTTTGAAGACTCAAATGACCAAAACTAGTAAAGAGGAAAATAAGGCTTAGGTTTTCGAATCTTGAGGTGTTACTATATACACTTGACTTCCTTAAACTTAAAAAGTGTATTGGAAAACAAAAAAGAGTTTAGGTTTTCAGTTGAATTGTAGTTCCAACACACATTCAGGTATAGTAGAATTTACATGTATTTCTATCCAATGTAAAAAATACATGTATTTTTTTTATTGGACACTCTTTTCATTTAAGTTGCTCAAAAAACCCAAATCATGGATTGCATTGGCACCCACTACAAGACAAACTGATTTGGATCAACAAGAGATCTTCATGGCTTGAGCATATGACACTGAGCTTACAAAAAGAGAAGACTTGCTTGAACCTCATCAACAGACTTTGGTTCAAATGCACTCATGGAAGATTGAATCTGTATCATGACACACAATGTGTAGGAAACACTGTTACATGTCACATGAAGCAAGAAGGTTATTCCTCCTATACAGAGAGATCAACACAGCTTGTCGGATGGCGGTGTCTACTTGTGCTACATCCAAAAGCTAACTTTAAAGAGCAAAAATCATATATGTTACTTTCAAAGTCACTAGACGAAGAAAGGGTGATGTGAGGATGCCAGGATCTGTGCCAGGATCTGCACCATTCCCATCCCCGAGTACCGAAATAAGGCACACAACTTTTGGAACTCAATAATGGTAGTAAAAGAATAAACGAGGAATCGTTCTTTTTTTTTTAGCTTTTCCCCCTTTCCGCTCCCTCTTGCCTCTGATCTCATGCTGCAAACAATCTGCTCGTAAAATTTTGTATGCAGCTTTCTTGCATCAGTCCAAGTAAAAGAAAATAGAACATGAAATATGGTAGGAAGCGTTCTTCGCTGCAAATTTATAGATATCTCATCCATGTACAGCTACCTCCACTTCAGGAATCAACAAAATTTCTTCGGCAAAGATTCATAAAGCCAAACTTATAGTGATTGGTTTCCTACCAAAGAGACGAGATCGGAACTGTAAGTTCACAGGTAACTTAAAATTTTAATCTAAAGAAATTTGAATGACCAAAATGATACATGTAGATATCTTGTTGCAATAAATACAAGAATCATTCCTGTACCGGCAAAAGGCAAAGGTGAACCACAGAGTAATGTTTATAGTACTGTGAATATACATGGAGAAAACAAGATTCAGCAATTTGTGAAAATGTCCAGTAAGTTTGCCAAACTGCTTAAATATCTTTTTTAGCACAAGATACACAAGTTATTTCCTAGAAAACAATTTTACCTTAATATCGGAGTCTTTTAAAGCTTCTAATGTTGCTTCAATCTCCATTTGCTTCATCAAAGTTGCTTGCAGGACCTGAATGAAGAAAATGTGATTAAAGAAAGTGACAAGGATATAACATAACAAATCAAGATTGACAAGGAAAACATGCATAAGGAAAACACAGTTTTATCAGATGGTACAAAAGTCAGTGATTTGAGCCTGGACCGATGAGAACTTGATCGAGTCAGTTAGCAGCTTTATAGCTCATATATCTCTGAGATTAAGATAGTGTATGTGCATTAAAAAGAAACAACAAGACAGATTACGAGAAGACAATAGAGAAAAACGTCAAAAATAGGCGACAAGGGTGACAAATCAGCTAATGAACCCAGTAGTCATTTAATAGATCAAAGTTCTCATGTGATATGACATAATATCAAGCATCACCATGGATTCGATGTGAGCTTTCAACTTGCGCTAGTACGTGATCTAGAGCACTGGGAGTACCTAGTGACTTCATGAATCAACAAATCCATAAAATTAAAGCCCTCATTCAAAATGCTTAGACTGATGTGTGTAACCAAAATATATCTGACTGAATCACTATAGATTATATGTGGTCATCTCACATGAGATAAAAGACTTACTTTATTTGTCTTGTGAATATCAAACTCGACACACTTTATCCTGTCCATTGAATCAAGGATCATGTGCTCTTTTTCTCGAGGAATCTCAGCAGGCTTGTTGCTGAGCTCATTTAACATCAGCTCAAGCTTTTGAAGACGTTCCATGCAAGAAGTGACACAATCTTCCTTGAGAGCTTCCGTAGTTGAATTTTTATTGCATGCCAAGTCCAAGGCATTTGATAGATGAACATTCAACCTCCTATCCTGTCTAGACCATAAGATACGAAAGAAGGACAGCATTTTTATGAGAAATGCAACCAATGTTCTTGCAAAAGAGTCCAACTTTCCTTCTGTATCATCCTTGATGTTGTTGTGCTTACCAGCAATAGAGTTACCTGAAACCATCAAGGTAAAACAAATTTTGACTGATAAAACTATTACAAAGAAACAGGACTATGTTGACAAAAGGGACAATTAATATAAAGTTATAACTAAACCTTGGCAGAGGAGCAGCAAAGTTATATCTTTAATATGAGACAAAACTCTTAAAATTGTAGTTTGAGAGAACTAGAAGAACAAGAGAATTGTATTCCCTTTTAGCAGCTTGAATGCCAAGAGAGACCATGCAAACATGACAGAATGGAACTGTTTAGAGAGATCTTGGACTCTTCCTAGATATGTTGTGGTTAAACTATTCTTTTCTCGCCGATAGAACCTGGACAATTACAACTTCAACTTGCCCAAACTTCTGTTAGTAAAATCCAGAGATGAACCACTTTTTCCCTGTGAACTTAGCCTTGAGCTTATGAATAAGAAATACATAAGCTACAGCCTACAGGAATTATGAAGAATGGGAAAAAAATATTGAGATCTTACTGCCTGTATAAATCTTTTATTTCAGGAGAATTTGCCTTAGATATTAAAGGATGAGAAATTGATTTAGATGAGACAATAAATGACCACCAAACACTACGTGAATTGATGGAATCAGATAAAATCTATTATTAGGTCATACAAAAAAGGAGCTATTGTAGCAAAACTTTAGATGTTGTCTCCGATGCATCACCAATTTAATTTACCATGCAGTTCAAAAGTATAAGAAATCTATTGTGGGTACCAAAACAAAATTGCAACCTATCAAAGAAATACAAAAGGATTTCTTGACATTTCGGAAAAACAAATAATTGCAATCTTGATTCAGGCCATTGAGAGACAGAGCACATCAAAGTCATCATTGTTCTGTTTATTACCAGCAACAGGCTAGCCAATTGACTATCGTATTATTCCAACTTAAGCACTCTTATTTCCATAATGATGTCTGCAATATTAGCTTCTATTTCACAGAAAACTCAGATGAATATCTCCATAAGTGTCAAGAATTTTTGAATTATCAACTAGAACATATCCCGAGGATTAGAAGAAAATAGCTCTAAAGGCACAACTTATCAGGATCTTTGCAGTAATCTAAGTGATCATCTGACGAAAAGGGTAATCGAAGGATTTACAGGGATAAATCATCACAACTAATTAAAGAATAATGCAGTAGAGAAGATTAAAAGTCAATACCAAAGGAATGTGGGGCAGCAGTTGCAGAGGTGTAGTCAAGATCTTTTAATTCTTTGGATGCCTTCACAGCAAAACCAGATCCTCTTCTACCATTATCTACAACTTTATCAACAGTTGCAGAATGGTCATCACAGCTCTGATAAGGTGTAATGTCTGCTTCTCTGACCTGCCAATCCAACGATCGAAAAATGAGATGCAAAAAGTGTGTTTAGTAAGGGATTTGCACTATACAGTCATATTGTTGTTATTAGAACTCAGCCATTAAGAGACAATATTCTAAAGGAGTTATGAAGTTCCTAAATCTGCAATGTTCAGGACAGGTAGACTGATTTAAGCCAGTGAAATATAAAACCTATAATAAGCATAGACTTTAAACTTTCAATGCAGATCAGATTTTTTTTTCTTTTTTTTTCTTTTTCTTGCTTTTATTCCCTTTTAGATGTGGAAGTTGGTAGACAAAATTGTAGGCACTTTCTTGTATTTGCAACAGCTCAATTATCCGTTGATCAGATCTTCCAAGGAGGAGCTTTGTTCTCTTTGTTTCTAATTGTTGGATGGATTGATAAGGAATTGATATAGCAATCTGAAGAAGTTAAAAGTCTCAATCTTTGAGCATAGATGACTTCTTCATAGGCCTATTCATCATTAATTAATAATACCATCTTCTGATACACCTGCTTGCAGATTCTGTTTTCCCTATTATGCAATTAAATTAGGCTGATAGTGCTTGGAACCATACAATCATGACCATCGTCAAAGCATAACCTTGTATACTCAACATAAACTATGCAAAAAAGGAAAAATTAAAGTATGATGTATGATATTCATGTACTCCTTCACTGAACATGAACAAAGATAATGTATCACAGGATTATCGGCATGCTTTGAGCTCACTTCTTTATAAATTGGAGACAGACGAGCATTATCAGCAGTCACTGGTATTACAGGAGAACAAAGATCATCAGCATCAGAAACTGATTCAGCTGCAGAAGTTTGACTAGTCCTTCGCTGCCATTAAAATAAGCACAGCAAATCTGAATATGAGAAAAAGATTATCTGTAAAATCAACTAGGGCTACAGGTTTAAGATTTTAAAAACTTGCCTTTGATGAGTGTAGTCTTACACAAGAATGGCCTATTTTTTCTCCATCAGATGTATGTCTGTTTTCCCTCGCAGATGTTGTGTCAATGCCTTGTACAAACTACAGGTGAAAATGACAATACTAACTAGGTTGATAAAGACAGCCACTGACCATGGTTTGAGTAAAATTTACTGGATACTACCACTTCTCCAATTAGATATGAGATATATACCTTCAAAATAACTGGGTCATTCCATGGTCCTCTGTTAGATCTAAGACATCCTCTCTCATAATAGCATGTACATGAACCACCGAGGAATTCTGGCAATTGGCTGAATGTGCATATACATATGCATATTATTAATATGATGAATGAATAGTCACAAAGTAGCAAAAGGAGATTCATGATGCTATATGCCAGAGACATAAACACACAAACCTTGAGTCAATTGCCTCAAGAAGTCTACTCTGATATTTGGTTCCAAGAACCTGCACAAAAGTTCTAGACATCATCCATAGAACCAAGAAACCAAGAATCACTGTATTTCTTCTATGGACGCTTTATCTTACATGTATCTTTGAAGTAGTTTTGGGATCAAGAAATCCTTTCACAGTATTCCAGAGAAGCTTAAAACCATGGCCAGCATTAACTACAAACATTTGATGTAGTGTCTGTACAAATAAGAAGTTAGAACACCTACATGCACTAACAGCCACATGAGAAGCATCTTAAACGTACCTCAGGATAATAATCACCATCAATTTTCTGCATATTGAGCAAAAGGTCCCTTGCTGTCTTGCTGAAATTCTTCAAGCCCTGTATTCATGATGTCAAACTTCGATACATGCTACTGACAGTTTGAAATAAATGATCAAACCCAGGATATAGCAGGGCAAAATCCAGCAATTGTTGATTATAAATTTTATACAATGTGTTTCTATGTGCATCATAATATGTTAATACAATATAAATAGGAGAGAAACAAGCAAAATACCACGCCTTGTACATCCAATATCGTGGTGGAGGAACCAATGTGTTTTTTGGCAGCAATAGAGCATGCAGGAAATTTCTCATTCAGGGCTCTCTCAAATTCTTGTACATGGTACTTCAAATAGCGCTCTACTGTAGTTACGTGCATAAGCTTATTTGGCTCAGCTTTCCCCAGTCTCTCAATGTAGACAGGCCTTCCCTCCTTGTCAACTCCATGATATCCTTGGGGATAATAGCGCAGAACTTCCTCCAGCTCTTCAAATTCAAAGTCCTACAATCAATGAATTAGAGCACTGTGGCATGTCAGATAACATCATTTAACAATGAATTTGGTTATATAAATAATAATATTCTCAGATATATGACCATGAATACTGCTGAAACAGACATTTGCACTTCATTGATAACTGCTAAATGCCGTACACCACTATAGATTAATGTGGACTACATGGATTGCAGAATACTGCAAGGGTAACCTTCAAGGCCGCTGATGATTTATGACAGTGCTCAACGATCCATAAATTGAGGTAGATACTGAGCATCCCGTTTTTAGTTACTCTTTATGCATGTTCAATTTCTCAATCCAGGGGTGCTAAAACCAAAATCAGCCCCATATGTCACCAATCACAAGAAGTTCAAGCAACATATTTTTCTTCCATACATGCTTTCAGACAAAAACTAAAGTGCCACCATTTCTTGATTATTCAAGACACATCAGGCCACCTGATTCTCGATGTTACTTTTGTGCATGCTAAATTGCTACATAAAATTTAACAATGACTTTACCTCCAGAATTGTGTCCGTTCCAAATTCTTTTCTCCATTGAAGCATCTCAGCCCACATGTGGGTTGCTTTCTCAAAGTCAAATTTTCTAGCCTTGAGGAACCTGATCGAAGAAAAAAGTTTAGCAAACCCCAACTTAACCTAAGCATAAGACTTAAGTAATGAAATCTGGCCCAGTAGATGCTTGAGGTATTGGATTAAAAGGACCAGAAAATTTTTAAATCATTCTAACCTAAGCAATGTGTGATAGTCATCATGTTTATTAGGCAACAAGTCCTTGGCAATGAGTTGTTGCCGGAAGGAAGAGACAGCTTGCTCCTCTTCAGCATCTCTAACATCCTCGATTGGAACGGAAGGAACCCTGAAATCAACTCTCCTTCTCCCTCGTTTCTTCAAAGAGTGTGTAAATCTACTCGAAGCATTCAACGCTTTTTTCTTGAGAGATCCGATTCTCGTTTTCCTTCTCTCGTCCTCAGAGTTCTCCACATCAGATCTCCTTTCTTTTCTCTCCTCATAACTGTACGACCCTTCAAGGCCTTCTGCATGGTAGACTGCTAGTTGTAGCATTTCGGATGTAAGAAAAAGAACAATGAATTCAAAGTGTTCATTTCAGAGCCAACTATACAAGTTATACCAACTACCTGACATTTCCTTCCGAGGCACAAGACCTTTTGCTAGGACCTCAAGATTCAAAAGAGACGAGCAGCCACTAGAACAAGGAACAAGAAACAAGGTTAATCCATGAACCCATTTACATTCTCTGAATCCAAAAGATTGAGAAAGGAAAGGATAAATATACCTGAACGAGGGATTCCAGAATGCAGCAGCACAGATGCATAGAACTCAGCGAAAGAAGGAGATCTCAACAACTGATAAAGACCAAAGAGAAAATCTTTATAATCAAACTGTCTTTCTGAATCATCTTTTCCAGATGACATCAAGTTGCCTTTTTTTAAAGCATCCACTTTTCAGCTTAACAGTGTAAACCATCTTACGAGGGTGAATTCTAAATCTAATATGTACCAATAAAAACAAGGGAGATAACTGACAACTCTAAGTTTGCAGAACTAAATAAAGAAACGTAATTGTTACAAAAATAGGACTCGAAGGACCTGCATTGGTTCAATTGCTTTTAATTGATGGAAAGAGGCTTCGCCTCGATTCTACTAAAGGTTCGACCTTTTATTGAATCCCGTCGATAAAATCTCCTCTACGAGATGAAACCGCCCTTTAAAGATCCATTATTGAACACCCCTCACCTGAAACCGTTTCGAAAAGCTTCTCACAAAGATCGGAACAAACAGCCCGTCCGTCCGAACCAAGAAGCGCACTCCAATATCCAGTCTTGCAAGCCCCAACAAGGCGAACGCGATCGAACAATCAGAATCCAAACGCCAAGAAAAAAAGAAGGGAACCGAACCCGCGCCTGAGATCACCAAACCGACGAGGGCAACGCGAGACCTCTACCCCGTCCAACACCTCAGCCAGCAGCGATCTGAGCGCCGAGGCCGGGACGAGAGAAGGAAAGAGAGATCGGTTTGGGAAACCGTGAGGAACTCTCTATCTCAGAGAAATGACGAAGAATTCGGATCCCTTCTCCTCCTCCTCCTCCTCCTCTTCTCCTCTCCGCCTACTTTGCCCTGGAGAATGGGTTTCGTCCGCCGTGGTCTTCTTTTCTTGCTTTGGAGAGGGAAAGAGAGAGCGGAGGATTCGAGGAAGCGGGTAAAAGTCGAGAGCTCGCTGGCTGTCGTCTTGCTGTTGCCGCTCCTCTCTCTCTTTCACGCTTTCTTCACACTCCTTCCACATCTCCTTCCTTCGCTATTTATTCATCCCCTTCTCTTCTTTTGCTTACATGTATAAATAAATATATATATATATATAGAAAATGATTTTACATTTACTTTTTAAATTTTATAAAAACAACACATGTAAATTCATATTAATATATCAATTCTACTAATTTCTTAAGCAAATGCTACCTAAATTGACACATAATGTGATTGATTGATTTAGGTTGCTTTTTTCGCTTGGGTTGGCATAACCAAGTAAGATTTAGGGGCTTTTAAAAGTCAAAATTCATGTGGATAAAAAAAAGCAAATATAAATATATTTTTACAACTTAACAATTAATTTAATAGTAGGTGGATGAAAGATACTATCCAATCCTTATGTATATGGCTTACGTTATCAATTATAATATTTTTGACGTCTTCAACAAAATATTAAAAATAAAATTATTTTTTTAAATAAATAACATAACAATAATCAAATAAAAAGATTTATATTAATTATGTTATTTTAAAAAGACTATAAATAATAGCACGAAGGAACTTCATCGATTATAATAAATAAAAATTATCCTTTCAAAATTATGAAAAAGGAACATTTCTCTAAAAAAAAGATTTTTCCAAAATTATCTCATAAATAAAACTTCCATGAAAAAGCAAATTTAAAATAAAAATAGCCTCCATTTAATGATGTTCGTCATGCTAATTGACATGGTTGGTCTAACCATGTTGACCATATCTACTTCGATTGATTATTATACGTGTATAATATAACATTATATATATTATATACAATAGACACGTAGGATTCTATGTTGACTATGACATTACGACTATCGCATGATTATTTCGGAGACGTCGGACGTCACGTGATTTGAGAGATTCCATGGTGTACGGTTACGAATACGGTTGTCAATCCTACGAGATATATATATATATATATATATATATATATATATACATATATCTCGCCTACGTGTCGCGACGTCGGGACCCACTGTTGGATGGACGTGGAGCAAAAGTAAACGCGAGGCATCGACAGAGACGGGATCGTGCTTTGAGATGGTTGATTGGCGTCTCTATGATTCGTGCGAACCTGATGCGGAACGCCCTGTGGATGACACATGGAACAGATCACACCTCCATATCTAATTGTCACCCATGCAGTAATCTCAATTATTCCAAACTAAACAAAAAAGAAATGATTCTTTATTATTATTATAAACTAATTTTGAATCCATTTAAAACATAATTTGAACGAGTATATGTAGTAGCATAAGACATCAAAATGTGTGGGTCCAACTGCTGCATCAAGCACTGGCTTGAGCTCAGAAACGATCCAATCGGCACACAATTAATGCACGCACACCAACTTGTTGGTCTCAGTACTTGCACTGACAAGGACACATCCAGTACGTCGCTGCTGCTACCCGAAGGACACAGAGAGCGCGAGCATCGTGTTATAGAGATCAAAGAAATGTTACCGATGACACAGTTGGGAGAGAAAGGGAGAGGGGGAAGACATTACAGGGACCACTGGTCCATGGGGGGGGGTGGTGGAGGGATGGGGGAATGATACCAATGATGGAAGGGATTGAATGATGAATCGGGTTGGTGGATTTCTCGTTTGCTGGTGAGTTTGGATGTGTTCCTGACAGAGGAAGGAGGAGGAGGAGGCGTGGGTTTGCCCTGCTGACGCGGTCAGGTCGGTGTGGGGGGTGATTCTGACAGCGACTGTAGCAGTTTTGGTCGATCGACGGAGAGTGTCGGCATGTAACGGAGAGTTGTTGACGGCGGGCCGACGAAGGACGAGCAGGAAGCGATGTATCAGTTTAATTTTCCCTTTTTTTTCTTCTGATAATTATTTTCTTGTGGTCTCTGACGAGTCTTCTTGTCAAGTCATTGGCGTCGAGACAACAAAGAAGAAAATGAAAGTGAAAGATTAATAATTGAAGGACAAAAACCAAGTTTTTTTTTTTCTTCCAACATTTTAATCCAGTTTTGTTGTTCTATTTTAGCCACTTGGGACTCTGAATGATGAACAGATTTTGGTAATACAATTTGACAGAAGAATAATTCAAGATTGAGTTAATAATGCTGTTTTCTATATGATTGACTCAATCTTAATTTTTTACATGAATTTTACTAGATCGAGTCAAAAATCACCTCTTAGGAGGTTAAATTAAGTGAAATTTGAGTAGGAAACTTAGGAAAAAACTGGACTTAATCTTGATCATTTTTCAATAAAAAATTTGTCAACTTCAAAGCCTCCTAAAAAATGAATAAAATTAGATGTGATTTCATAATGTTTGGATATTATTTGGAAAGGGAAAGTATAATGTTTTCTGAAAAAAAATCTAACACACTGAGGTCAGATCTAAGAAGGCTTAGATGCCTGATATTGATGTGAATGATCAACCAAAGTTTATCTACTGAAAGGCCTCCTAACAAAAACTGAATAAAGCTGGATGTTATTTCATACTGTTTTGACATTATTTGGAAAAAGAAGAAAATAATTTGATGGGAGAATACATAGCACACACACAGGTCAAATCTAAGAAGGCTTAGATGCCTGACACTGATGTGAATGATCAAAGAAAGCACTCTACTCTTGATGAAGAGATGTCAAATGCATCTGTCTACCCGAATGAGAAATGGAAAAAGAGAGATGTGGCTCTCAAGAATATTAGGATGAGATTGTGGGACTCTCCCACCAAATTAAAATGATTAGTGCCTTTCATCAGTTGTTTTCCTCAGCAATGGCTTATTTTATGGGTACAAAACTCAAGCACTGCCCAATTTATACATCCATGATTCTTCCATCCATTGTGAAACCAGAGAGGAGAATGTGGAATTTAGCAGTCATTAATAACTTGCTTTTGTGGTACAAAACTCTGTTAATAGCTCATCGATCAAATGGGGGAATTCCAAACAAAACTGTCATGTCCACTGTCCACAATTCTTCCATCCACAGTGAAACCCCAGATGAGAGATCAGAAAGATGGGTCTCTTGTTCCATCAAAAGGTGATCCCTGTCACAACCCAGATGGGTCTCTTGTTCCATCGAAAGGTGATCCCTGTGGGAGACTGGGGAAGGGATGGACGGGCAATGGACAGTGAAAAGGAACAGAGGTTGCAGCAGAAGGTACAAAGGGTGCTGTAAAAAGCAGGGGCAAGTGCTCATTTGTAGGCAGTGTAGGGAATATGGTCTCAAGCCTCTATCTATGAATCAATGAATCCCATCCTTCTACAAAGTAAAAAGAAACTATTCTTGCTTAAACTTGTGTCGACAAGGTTGGTAGCTTGTCAAGGCACAGAGCCAGCACCCCATGGGACCATACAGCAGGTAAGAAATATTGGGTCTCACATGTGTTCTTCCTCTACACTTGCACCATTTAATGGCCACATCTCACAATTTGTTTTATTGTATGTAATGCATTTAAAGCCACATGCAAGAAAACCAGTGGAATTCAAGCTACTTACTTGCACTCAACTTTCTCATTGTAATTGTGAGGGCATGAAGGGGATGTAGATTGGCTCAATCATGTGTCCTGTCATCTTTTCTCCTTGAAGAATCTGTTTATATCAGTCACTGACTTCTCCTAGCAGAAGCAATGGAGATCTACTCCTTTTGACAGAGTCAAAGTTACTATAACTATATGTTGGGATTGGGGAAATTTTGTACTACCTTGTGGCTCTTGGAAACAGTGGGGTATCAGGCCTGGTGCTTGCACAATTTACCCACTTGATGTGACAAATCAGAGAGAAAGCCCCCCACCTGTAAGAAAAAGAGAAGGCAAGTTAAGCTCATGGCTGTTTTGTTTTAGGGTGTTGGGAAATCATACCTTGGTGATTGCCAGGAATGTGGTGTTGGAATGATATATAATTATTATGCCTATGACTTGTGCCTTTGACTGATGGGTAATGTGGTACTAAAGTGTGTAGGCAGATTCCATTATTATGATGGCTAGGACAGACTCTGCACCTTTGGACAACCACCTCATTGTGTGCAGGCCTCAAGTGAGACCCAGTACAGCCCCTCCAGTAAAGATTAGGTCTTGTCTGATATGAAACATATCCATTGTGCATTTAAATTCCCAAATTATAGCATTTGTAACAAGAACAATTACTTTCTAATTACTTTTTTAAAACTAAAAATGCACTAGTAAGTAATGCCTAATACAGAAGATTCCTGGCACAGAAAACTGGTTAGCAACTCAGGCAAAGTGTCACTGCATTAAAAGAAAGAAATATTCTTCTTTTTTCCTTTTCAAAATCAATCGACTATTTTCAGCAACTTTGTTGACCTCCTCATTGATGGACAAAATGCATGTATCTAAGTACATTAAATGTACACCTTTCTGATTCCCTTTTTATGTGTTTGTTTCTCTTTCTGTTTTGGGTAATTATCATGATTTACCATATTATTTTTTTTATTTTATGTCAAACATTTATTGGGATGTAATGAAATATGCAGAAGTGTATCTTCCTAGAATAAGACTGAGAATGTCAGAATTGCACATGAGAGAAGAGGGAAAGGTGGAAAAAATTTTACTTAAGACACAAAAGGATAATAAAGAGGAATTAGCTCCATCAAGGAATCCATTAATCCAACCTCAAAAGACCATCCTGCCAGTAAAAGAGTGTCAAAAAAGTAGATGTAAACACTGCAAAAATGCAACAGATACTCTGTAAAGATTGTCAAAAAGTTTGGTGTACATATTACATATAACAAAAACAACACCATAATGTTGATCTGCTAGATGTACATATTACAAGAATGTAACAAATATTCCGCTTGTCCTTTTCATAGTTTTTATTTATGTTGTCATTTTTTCTTCCCTGCCCTTGTCCTAATTGCTTTGGATCATGAACTAGCACACTCCCAAGGGGACATGATCTATAAAATGTCAAAATCTGTCAACATTCCAGAAACATCTAAGTGACCCATATTTCTACATTGCATGCATATTATACTTAAATTTTGTTGTTGGTTTGTTCATTTTTAATATATTTAAAATTCTATTATACTCATGCAAAACTAGAACCAGGGGTTTCCAAAGTAAAGAATAACTAATCGAGGTTAAAAATGTTGATCAATATTGGTTTCAAATCTTGTCGAACCAATACGATACAAATATATTAAGCGAGTGTTCTGACATAGCTGAAAATCTTGATCAAGTAAATTATGAAGTATTACAAAGAGAAGCCAAAATACTTGCAGAAATAACTTTGCTTGGCAATAGCAGCATAGACAGCAAATGCAAAATGAAACAAAAAACACATTTTGCCAAGAAAAGCCAATGCCAACATGGTCATTCTCCATTACCAAAAGAAGCAAAAAGTTTGCAGAAAAAAATTTGCTCACTAGTAGCAGCATAGACAACACATGCAAAATGGGACACAAAACACACTTTTGACACGAACAGCCAACACTAACAGTCATTCTATATTACAAAGAAAAGCAAAAAAATTTGCAGAAATAACTTTGCTCAGTAATTGCAGCTTGGACAATTGCAGAAGACACTTTTGCAAAGGAGAGCCAATGCCAACACAGTCATTCTCCATACAGAAGCCTACACAACCTTACTATTCCTACCAATAAAGTGCAGAATAGCAACAAAACCTTATCAAAGGATAAGGAATTTATCCCATGGCACATTTCTGGTCCAAGATCAGGTGGTTGTTTCATCAAGATTAGGGTCTGTCAGAAGTGAACTTAAGGGATAGCAGCACATATAATGTATCATCATGCACCAATGAGCTTAGAAACTTAATAATCAGAGTCAATACACAAATTTTAAATGGTAATATTATTTACCAAGATATTGATATAATTACCTCACATCTGTGACTGCTGTATGATGACAACAACATGCACAAGAATCAGATTTGGATCAAATCAGATTTAGAAGTGTAGCCAAGCATCTGATTCAGCTAGGAGACAATGTAGAAATATTGAGAAGAAAAAATAAGTGTGACTAGTATCATATTCTGAGAATGTGAAATACAAGTTCTTTAAAAGACTTAATATCACAAAAAGATTCACGCATCTTATACTGTTATGTCGATTGAGATTGTAACTGCATGATTAAAGAGTTAGATAACTCAACAGTAAGAATCCATGTAACACCATAACCAACCCAATCTATCCTAGCCCAACTCTCAGACCCAATGTAAACAGGCAGGACTCTGAAAGAAAACAAATAGGGGTACTTTTATAGCTTCTTTGTTGTTCTGATAGATTGCTCAAGACCGTCCCAACCTAAAAATCTCCATGCAGATTTAAGTTCTGTGACACTACGAAACATGTATTTCAGAAGGACATTTAGCAAGGAAGATCCTTATTTAGACCTGCCATAGATTACTGCACTATGTTTTCAACACTTGGATTTATAATTTTGAAGATATATAGTCTGCTCTCTTGACTGCTACCTGAATATTCTGAGTGGTATTCTTCGGCGGCACAAGCCTTTCAGTGTACAATTCAATAGCAGCTCAATATGTAAACTAACAAATCAACCTAGTTTCCCAGTTCATAAACAGGTTGCAGATTATAGTTATGAAATTATTGATGTGATTACAGAATATGAACTCAGGCAAGTAGGTGGAATTTAAAGCACCTGTAACAATTGGGAACAAAGGTGATCAATTAGAAGTCCACCATGCATTTCAGAGTCGAACTTGATGGCCCAATTAACCCAGACACAACCAGCACAAACAATCAAATTAGTTAAACTGATGTATAAAATCAGTAACAATTGGGAACAAGCCTACAATGTATAATCACATGCAGTTTCCAGGACTGCAACATCACTGAATTTGAACAACAGTTTTCAATAGAAATCCAGAATTGATGCGGTGCACATGCAAACAGTATGTTACCATTTCACCTTACATCAGATTACAGATCCAGTTGCTTATATGTGTCTCGTGAGTTTCAAGATAGAATTAAGGCGATGGCTTCGGTTGCTACCCTTAAGGGATTCTGCTAGCAGCTAACCTGATTAGTACTTCAGTCGCAGAGAACCACAAATAGCTTCATACAAAATACTGATATCCAGTGCCGAAGAAACCTAATCTCTGAGAAAGAAGCAAGAATTATGTGTAAGCTAGTGTAAATCCTTTGGGATTCTTTTATGGGAAAAATTATGATCTAACAAGATCCTACAATCACTAATTCTTTCAGATACAAATAACTTGTTAGCAACACAGCCAACGAAAAAAAAACTTCCTTTACTAAAAAAGGTAAACTGCTTGGACAAATGAACTTCAATGGTAACTTGAGCAAGAAACACTTACAATATTTACTTGCAACTCGTAGTGAGAGTTACTTTGAAGTTCTGAAGTTTGCCAGACTCGCAAGTACATCTGCAATAGCTCCTTCATTCTTATGCTTATTTGTCTGAAAATATATAAAACAAAAAATTTTCATGTGACATGTTCGAGGGATCTGACGGTTTAAAAGGAGTAACTCCTCGAAAGTAAAACCATGACAAACATACAACTAAATAAAAAAGCGCTAAGCGCTCGCCTAGGTGCCCACCAAAGCGAAGCAAGGCGCTCCCGAGTATTATAATTAAAATCATATACAACTAAATAAAAATATGCTAAGCATGTTTATGAAGATTTGTCTTAAAATTAAACTGCTTTGTACACTTGTCATTAATTCTAAAACCTAATATATAATTTTAAAACAACAAAGATTAGAGATTTAACAATCTATTATTAACAGTATATTATTTAATGTTAACAATAGTTAGAGAGGAGAAAAAAACCATTAATAGTAGCAGAGGGGGGAGAAAAAAACAAGCTAGAGAAAAGTGTCACCAATAGTTGACAGTAGGGAAGGAGAAGACAGCGGTGACAGAGGAAGCTGTGGACGACAGTAGTAGCGGTGGAGGAAGCTGCTGATAATAGTTGCAGCAGCGGAGGAAGCTACTGATGATAGCTGCGACAGCAGCGGAAGCTGTGGACAGCAGCGACGAAAGCTACGGACGACAACGTCGTGGATAAAGGAAGCTTCCGAAGTATATGTCAGTCGTGGAGGAAGCTGCGATCCTCTCCCTCGACGGTAGGAATTGCCAACGGCGGTGGAAGGAAGCTATGGACGAAGGCTAAGCAGTCAGATCTGTTTGTCAGCAACAGAGGAGGCTTCGGTCTACTGCGTCTGCAGCGGAGGCAACGGCAAAAAGCGTTGGCGACGGAGGCACGAGCGCTCTCTAGGGTTGATTGGTCGAGGTCACACGGGCGTGCGAGGTGGCTTTTGCAGGTAAGAAAGTGGTTAGTTGATTCAATCGAACCAAATAACCACTATTGAATCAAACTAGACTTAAAAAGTCTAGTTCGATTCAACTATTTGAACCGAGCGCTCGCCTAAGTCATCCTACGCCTGGGTTTGGGCAAGCACCCAAGCGGCACCTCATTGAAGCGCGCTGCTGGTGCATTGTTGAGGAGCTTGGGCCTCGGCTCACCCAAGCGCCGAGGCGAGCTCCCAAGCGCCCATTTAAATCACTGGTAAGTGGCAAAGGCATAATTTGATCCCAAGATCTTGCTATCAACAATCAAGGTCAGTACTTCTAGCTAAGCTAGTTGACAACTTCTATATATGCCTTTTTGATCATGTGGAATGTGAAGGATATGTATATACTAAATTACCCATGCAACTTCCAAAACCAACTAATTCCTTTTTCCACAAGCAAAGAATAAAAGTTTCACTGTGCAGCAGAAGCTTCAATCATATTTTGTAACATAATATGTTCTTAGAATTCTTATCAAGCATCATGGCTAAATAAACATATATCTATGTTTAGTAGCAACATTAATCTTAGAAAAAACAAAACCATCGATATGATAATCTTAAAAGAAATTCCAATTTACATTAAAAAGACAGATCTGACCTTTAAAGAAGGTATTAGCGCATAAACTTCATCAAGGGTCTCAGGATCAACATTTCCAATCATGCATATCTGTATCAAAATTGAAAAGAAAACCTCAGAGGGCATGACACTGGGTCAAAAAAGGAGGAGAAGAAGAAGGACAAAGAACATTATAGTTGAGCTCCAAACCTCGCCATCAGTAACCCCATTCTGTTTCAAAGTCCTAGAACTTAAGTTAATGGCCAAACAGGCAGTTTGTTCAGTTGGGCAAGTGACAAAGTACACAACATAACTTACTAAAGCAAGTTCAACCAAAGGATACTCTAAAACTTGTCTCACGGACTGAACATTCGTGTAGTGAGCATTGATTTTGGCATACTGCAAAGCTTTGCTAAATGACCTGAAAGAAAAAAAACTGATATTTAAAAAGTTCTTTACCAGTAAGAAAAATTAGGAAGGACGATGCCTGAAGAAGAAAGTTAAAATCTAATTCCTAGACCATTACTCAGGCATTTTTATCTTTGGATCATCTGATAAAACAGTCATGTGTCCCTGGATTTCTTGTAAAACTTCTGCTGCTTCGCAATCCATCAACAATCTAGCCCCCTTTAGAAGTTCTGCAAGTCAATCAACAAATAATCTATATTTCTAGAAGTGTCTAGCTGGGAATAGATGTTTAGAATATCAACAGTAATGACAAAGTTCCAACTTAAAATAAACTATCAGCATATGATTAAGTCTGATGTTCAAACAGAAAAAAAAAGGTTATTATATATCTCTTTTGCCTGATTGATTCAAAATCTTTTTCTAGTCCAATATTGATAAGTTGGATTTGTGGAACCAAAAACTCCAAATTAAGCTTACAAGCATCATTATGTTTTACATCATCAAAAATATATACTAGGTGCATTTATGAAGCAAGGTTACTTCGACACCTACATAACTAATCAGCTTTGGATAATGCCCTATAATGCTTAGTAGGACATAATCTGATTCCATAAATAGAATGTCAACTTCACATTAAAAAAATATTCATGATAGCATATGTTTTGAAGCCAAAGGGAATAATGTAAATCAATTTACCAGTCATGGCATAATATAATGACAACTATGGATGGTAAAACAAACCTAGTATTTTTCTTAATTAAATCATTTTAGTTTCTACTTTAAAAAAGTGAGTTATATATATGTACAAAAAAAACCTCAATATGAAGGAAGATATGCATATACACTGTGGATTGTTCATGGTTTCCTTCACAATATATGTATGTGTACGTATAAAACAAGCCTTGACAAGAAAGGAGGCTACATACATGCTTGTAGATAACAAGCCTCGATATGAATTGTGATGGATCCCTTCCTAAGGTTCTCTTCGACAGACACCTTATAGTTCAGGATTGTGGTAAAAAGAACATAGAGCTGACAATTAGGAAAAAACAATAGCACCTGACCAAATAAGGTTGGGAGTCTGATTGGACCTTGGTTCTATGGTGGCTTAAAATAGAAGATATGGAAAGCACAGAGTATAGGTAAACATGATGTCTAATAACTCCTAAAGTTCCCAATAGCTAGCAGAAATCAAACACACTAAAAGCATTAAAAAAAAGAGATAAGAACTGAAAAAGATAGAACAACTTTGCTGATAACAAGAACCAACCTAGTTCAAGTTTCAATTCCACTTCTGTAACCAGGGGCTTTATTGGTGTTGCTTCTGGTATACTACCCTTTCCACCAGCCTTTCCTACACTAAAACCTTTTCCTCCTTTTCCCAAGTCTCCTGCAAAGTTAAACATGACAAAGAACTTATTTTCACCTGAAATTGTTCAAGGAAAGTAGAACAACACCTCCTGAGATTTTGTCAATATGTGACATGAAAATTTATATAAATAACCAAAGAGGTGCAAAGGCAAACCTTTAGCAGTTGGTGTATCAAACGATGTCTTCCCACTTGATTTCAGACTTCCAAAGGAGACTTTCTTCTTACCGGATTTCTGTTCAGCTGATGATTTTTCATTTGCATTTAAAGAAGTTGGAACTTTTTCTTCAACAAAACCTAAGAATTAATGGCCAAAAGTGAGCAGCAAATAGTTTTAAGTATACATATAAATTGGTCAATGCTATTTGGAAAATTTCCTACTCCTCACTCGGTTGACACGATCTGAGGCACATTACTCATAACCAAAGAGCAAAAACTTTTACAGTTTACATTTTGCCTTGCCTTCTGTTATTTGGCAAACATTCATACAACTTATTTTATCCAAATTGCCACAAGTTGCAACACAAATCAGGCCTATTAATTGAATGAACACTGCTCAGGATGTTTACCCATAAAGCAGATAACGAAATCAGGACATGTACCCAGTGCTGATCAACAAACTAGGAGGCACCAACTTGGTAAGTGTGATGTGAAAACAACAAAGATGGATTACTAGGAACACATCCAACATCACATAATTTTAGTTTCAACTTCCAGCTATAAAATCAGTGGTTAAGTAAATTTATAAATACTTTAACCCAACTGGTTTGCACAAATCTCTCATTTCGGACCATAAAGTATTAATTAGAACCAAGAGGATTTCAATTCCGATGATAGTCTATTCTCCCTTTCCCAATGATGTGGAGATGGTCAAAACCAGAATGTTGTAAGATATATGGCCCTATCAGCACATGCAAGCACATTGCTATGCTGGACATTTAAGATACTGAATAGTTGATTAAAAAATAGCAAATGCATTTTGCACTAAACAAAGAAAAACTTTATATATAAATGCTGTTAATTTCCTTTTATTGGATGTGTCATTTTTTGATATCCAAGAAATGATAAAATGACATCAAAACTATGAACTGTCACGGACAAAACTATAAACAGGGGGTTTAATGTAATGCTCATGTATGTCCGTGTCTTTTGGTTTGTTCACGCTTTGCGCAACATGTAGCGGGACGGTCGAAGGCTTAACAACCCTATTTTAGTTGGGTTTGGTAGTCGTTTTAGGCTTGTAAATAAATATTATGTCATGTGAACATTTGTGAGAGATCTCGGTCTATAATGGATCATTTTGGATCCTTTGTTGTGCGATCGTTCAGAGCTTGTGAAGTCTGTTTGTAATTTGTATTGGTTATGGAGTATTTTCTTGAATGTTTGCTTGTGAATCTCGAGTGAGGCGTTTTCTCTAACCTGTTTTCTTTTTGTAGGTCCTAAGGGACCATGGGAGGTTTCGAGGGGATTGACCTTTGCGGACGGACATGCAAAGGTGCCGCACGACTTAGGCAAAACCAGTTAAGTTCGTGACAGAACGGAAACTTCATCCATCAAATTAGCCCTTCGAAAGGACTAGAGGCAACAGCTTGACGTGTACCTTTAGCTGCAAGGCCCTCATCTTGCTGTTGAGAACAGGAAATTTTCATCCCATTTACTATCGCAACTAACAAACAACATTTGTATTTATCCTAGTTAGAGAAAATCTACATAAAAAATGAAAACTAGAGGACTGGAAAAAGCAAAAAAAAAAGTCATCAACCTTCAAGCTCAGAGTCCGAGGAGTCAATTTCAATATGTGTTGACTCGTCCATAGCACCACTGTTATTTCCTTTGAGTGATCCTGCATGCAAAAGGTTGCTTTAGAAAGTGTCCAAGCACAAGAAGCTCATCTCAATCAAGGCAGAGTCCAAGTTAATGAATATTCTCACAGGTCAAGGATCATAGTACAACTCCAAGTAGAAGGTAGTCATATACGTACAAAGGATCTTCCAGTAAGAGAAACTACACAATACATAATCACGTCATGATAGATTTCATATTAAGGAATTGACCAAAGCATACAGTGACAAGGGCCACAAGGAGGAAGGGGTGTGCATATCTGTACTCCAGACTGTTATTATGCTGGAAAATTTTACTTTTTCTTTAAGAAATATAACAGCACAAAAAGCCAAAGGAAGATTCTTGCAAGGCTACCTTCTCAAGATGACAAGGAATACATTGACTTCTCAGTTAAAGTGGTTTCATTACAGAGATAATAGTTTAATTATATAGAGAAATAAGTAAAACAATTGTATCCTTTCATCAAGAAGACAATGGAACATCAACCCATTATTTAGCTAACAGTGGCTATCAACTTACAAATAACAAGGTACTAACACTGAAGAATGCAGACAGGAAGTCAGCTAGCTTATGAGATAGAACAAATCATAGAGATAAAGCACAAGGTTTAATAGTTCTCGACGACCAACCACTGGACGAAAAGGAAATAATAGACTTAGGTTTAATAGTTCTTCCAACATAACCTGATTCGGAAGCAAGCATACGTAAAAATCGGATCGGATTGCTTCAATCTTGCTTCAAAATATGACCAAGAAAAGTACGAAAAGGAAAATGTCCGACCTTGCTTCAAAGGCGCAGCAGCCTTCCCTCTCGGGAGGGGAGACCCATTTCCCCCTTTCTCTGCCATCGATGTAGAAAGAGAAAGGGATTCTTCTCCGGCTAAGAAATAGCGCTCGATCTGATCTCGGAGATGAGGGCTCAACCAATGCGGCGAAGGATCCGAATCGAATCGAAGACCGGTGAAGAGCGACTCCTCAAACCGTAGGGCTCACTTCCGCCACCTGCGTCCACCGTGAGATGAGACAGGCGTGGCTTCTAACGATAACAGAGCGATATATATATATATATATATATATATATATATATATATATATATATATATATATATATATATATATAAGGTTAAAAATAATTAAAAATACATTCATGTAATTTAAGTTTCACAGTGAAATCAGTCAAACTTATTAAACCAAATCGGTCAACGATGCTACAGTATTTCTATCATTAAACTAACAAATACTATATCAATAATAATTAACTTAAATTCTCGTAAATATTAATTATTAACTTTATTATATGTATTAAATATTCACAAAATATTTCATTCAGATCTTGAATGGAAATTAAGAATATTTTGATATATTTCAAAACAAAAGGATGGTAAATCCTTTTTTTTTACATGATAATCAATAATAAAATTTTAAAATTTTCACTTTGTCTTGAATTTAGATGTATATATTTTATAAAAATATTATTATAATAATAATTATTTGTTACGAACCAATGTTAGTAAAATCAAATCATTTTTTGTATTGGTATCGTACTATCTTTCGTTTGTTCATACTCTAGTAACACGTTTGTTTATAGGGATCTTTTGTCATCGAAGGTAAGTGATGAAGGAGAGGAGACATGACTCGTAAATTCATGGAGCGAGGGCAATCGTCAATTTAACAGAAATAAAATAAAATAATACTTTCACACGAATATTATGTGAGAATTTTTAAAAATTAAAAATATTATATAAATGTTTTTTAAAATTATATTTTTTGAAAATTCATCCATAAATCATTCAGTGAAATCATACCAAGCAGTTGTCAGATACCACTGCAGAATTCTCTGCTCTGTGATAAGATTCTTCATGCAACCCAACAACTAAAATATAATATATTGGTTGTCACTGCTACAAGTTTATCTTTCAATCACAGTCTCTCTGATAAGGACATATTAACTCCTAATCTCCATCTTTTTTGGTTTCTTGTACTTATTTGTAGCTATCTACCTTATTACATCTTCACCTCATGTGTTATTAATTAGTCTCAAATCTCATCAAGCATGCAGTGAAACCACCATAGAAGCATAGATTTCTACTCCCACTAATTTAATCTGCCCTGTAGCAACATTATCTTCTGCTTAATCAAGATATATGAAGCTCTGAATGTCAAGATGATCAAATTTCAAAAGCAATTATCTCCAACACAAACACTTCTCCAAATCTAATTGCCAATGCACACACAGTGTTGGTAAAATGATGTGCTATTCTGCATGGAGACAAATGGTGCAGTGAACATGAAAAGGAAATCTTTTGACACAATGCACTGAGAGCTTTCTGTCTTGACTTGAACTGCAGGGGAGAAAGCATTCATCACAGGAAAAGAGCCCTGCAACTCTCACTGTCACTGGAAGAAGCTGTGACTTTGCAGGTGCATGGCCACCAAATCACCACCATTCATGGTGCTTTAAGAGCCACATGGATGAAGATCTGAAGCACCTGAGCTCAGGATCATGAGCCATTATGAAGAGGGAGAGGGGAATTAGGTCAGACCATTGGTTGGCATGCTTGCTTCCACATAAGAACATGCCTTTTTGCTGGACTCTTCCATGATCACCATGACCTTTTCCTTCACTTCATTTGTATTGAGGCCTCGAGCTGAAGAATGTTGTGTGGCTCAACTGGCAATAAGCATCCCTTGCAAATTAATGTACATAGTAAAGAGAGTTAAAGAGTTTTTTGTTTTGCTACTTAAGTGATTAGATTCCAAGTTATATATTAACATTCTTTTAATCTCAATACCATTTAATATTGAATGATTTATATGTCAGATATTAAAATATTTTGTTTTTATAATATTAATTAATATATAGTATGATAGGAGGACTAATTATATATTACCTCATCCAGTTAGTTATTTTTAACACCTCGATCTGTACACTTAAAAAAAATTATATTGACATCATTATAATTACGAAAGTAAAATATCTAAATATATTTATCATAAATATAATGTTTATATAGTTATAATGTTAGGATAAATGGGTTTAAATATTTTATTTTTATAATTATAAAGAATATAAATATAATTTTTAAGATATAAAAAATAATTAACTAAAAAAATATATATATAATTAGCATCACATAGGATGATCAAAATCTGGAAAGGTGGAGCCCTTGCAATTTAAGGTGGAGTCACATGAATCTTAACCCAAAGCAATGTGGTTGAGTCAACCACAAAAAAAGAAAAGCTTCGAGATTAAGGCTGTGTGCATAGAAGCCAACAAAAGGAGCTCATTTACCTCTTGCGACTGCCCCCACAGTGAACTGTGAATGCTATGCCACTTTGCCTCTCTTTTACCTCCCACTATAAATACCTTCGCTTTCTGTTCCGCCTCCTGTGGTGTCTCCCTGCCCTGCTTGCCCTTCTCCGCCGGCTGATCCTGGATTGCCCTGGGCCATCGAGATCTCGCCGGGATCCGTGTCGCCGACGACCCGAACCTGGCCGGAAATTGCCGTCGATCTCGCCGGAACCATGGCTTCCGGCAGATTCATGGCCTACTCCCCTTCTCCCTCCACCGCACCGCACTCCCCCCACATCCCTGGCATCCGCTCCGCCACCGGAGCCTTCGCCGAGCAGGAGAAGTAGGGCGCCTCCTTTTCCTCTCAAAATCCCGGCTTTTGTTGGAAAATGGTTGCTCCTGACCTTGTTTGGTCTTCGATCGTCTCCTTTTTCTTGTTTCATCGACGATCCATCCATAGCCTCGAACTTCCTCTTTCTTTTGTCCTGATCCTTAAGGGCTCCTCTTATGCGGTTTTTGGACGATCGGATATGTCGCTAACCATCTTCTAGATTTCTCCACTCTAAAGCTGAGATCTTTCAGATGCCTTTTACATCCTTGTTTGTGGGTTGGATTCTGGATTATCGTCAAATATGATAAATTTTGTTTATTTCCGTGTCCTAATGTCTATTTACTGAGTTCTACAATTATTTGCATTATTTTCCATGATCCTTCGGATGTCCTTTCTTTGCAAGATCTGTTAATTTCGACTAGGATTATAGTGTAGATTTTCAGTTGACGGGTCGTTCTTTTTCTGCATAAAGGAAAGTGTTGAGACTCCCAAGATCGTGACAAAGGGCTAATTGATAATTTGCAGGTATCTCTCAGAGTTACTTGCTGAGCGTCAAAAGCTGAGTCCTTTTGTGCCCGTGCTTCCCCATTGTTATCGTCTACTGAACCAGGGTGAGATTCATAATTTAACTTCAGTAATTTCAGATGCATCAGGATGTTGCTTTTGTTCTTCTTGAGACCTTTCAATCTTCCTTTTCGAAATGCCTTGCTTATTGCTCTTAAGAGGATTTTGTCTGAACATTCTGATGGTGCATTACCTTATGAGTTTGTTTATTCCGTAGTTCTTTGCATTTCTTTTGGCTTCATTGCATGGAAGGACACAACTGACGAGTCTCGTGTGTTAATCTATTACTAAATTCTCCTTCAAGATCAAAATCAACTAATCAGTAACAAGTTATTGTGTGGTGGTAGATGTCACGCACACACAACCTCACTCGCTCATACGTATTCTTACTTCATTTTGCTTTTAGCATCTTTGTCCTTCTTTCATTGCCTGAAAACGCTTTGTCTTCCTGAAAATTTACTTGTCACTAGATCACTTTGCTAGCCTGTTTATAAGTCACTATAATCATTGGCTGTGAGCTGTGACCAAGTTAAGAAAGCCAAGGTTCATTAAGATAACTTAACCAATGCAGAGAATTATTAGAATTGTCTCTTTCAATCATATTAAGTTGTCAATAATCAGTACCTTTTGCAGCAGTAGAACCTCCAATGGGCAGGCCGAAATTACTTTGGGACCTTGGCATGGAAGCATTGAGGTCAGGGATTACTATCATGTTTGACATAAGAGACACTCCCATAGCTTTTTGGACAGTGGCCTCCAAATTGATATGAGATGGCATGGAAGCTTAAGATTCCTTTTAGAATAAAAGCTGCAAGCGTACTGTCGGTAAAAAAAATCTTGCCATGACTATAATAATTGAAAAAGAGCAGATGATGCCTCTTCTATGCTCAGGTGCTTGGGCATATGTTCTCCCAAGGAGGGCATGAACTTCTCTTGTCCTAACACTACTTTGGGAAGGATGTGTTTTACATTTTTGTGCTGTGTGGTCGAAGATCTGTTGGCAAACATATTTTCTAGAGGTATCTTCCTATTCTTCTAGGTTGTTTGGTTCATTATGTTATGGGTTTGTGATTTTGAATGAGAAAATTTTTGCACTAACTGATTGTTATTATTAGACTGATGATCTTTATTGTAGCAAATAAACATGAGACATTAAACAGTTAACAGATACAAACATCAGTCTAATTGTCTAAATATTTATATCTGAACATGCAAAAACATAATAGTTAAGCATTCATTTTTTATAAAAAAACATGAACTATAGCTGCAAAACAACGATAAAAGAGAAATTATTGAAAACCAGAACTTTTTCACTAAGGGCCATCAAAACTTCTTAAGTTGACTAAAAGCCTAGAAACTTTCTTAAGTTTACTAAAGCCTATGAACTTTTTTTGTAAAGTAGACGATGCCTGCAGATCATCCAATTCTCTAGCTATGTATCTCTAATTCTCAATGGAAGTTCCATACTTCAAAACGGAAAAAAGCGCCTATGAACTTTCTTAAGTTTACTAAAAGCCCACGGGCATAACTTATGTTATGTTGTTATGATACAAAAATGAATGATCGAAGCATACAAGAAGGCAACCTTAACTATCTACCCTTTGGTCCAATTAATTGAATGACTTTAATCGTCTTAGTTTTTAAGCTCAATAAAAGGTGGAAGTATTAAAAAAAGACCAACTTTATCAACCGTCTGTTCCAACTATTGTGATCATTTCAACGTCTTAGTTTGTAAATCTTGTCATTGTTTTATGGCTTGCATTGGAATAACTTGTACTCGTTTGATGATTCAATTAAGAATTTGTAGCATGTAGCTGACAGTGTTAGTCTGGTTGTATACTGATTGTAAACTAACCATTTGTTTGAGCCATGTCTGTACATTTACTGATTACTAATTTATTAACAAATGCTAACCTATACATTTTATGCTTGAAATTGACATTTTGAAGCAGAGATAATACGTGTTACAATGCTCTTGGGAAATGCATCTCTTTTAGATCAAAGTGGGCTTGAATATGGTAGCCCAATGACTACTGGAGGATTATTTTCAAATGGAGGAGCAAATGATATGAATGGATGGGCATCACCCTTCCAATCTGAAGTATGGATACTAACCATTAACATAATTCCCTTTTTAACTAAATCTGCTGTTTAAAGAAGCATTCTTGATGTTTCATGCTAACTAGAATTGACTTCTTGTTTGACTTTTACATCTTGATTTATTTTAACACTTTATTCTAACTTGCTGTTTCCAGTTCTTTGTGTTCTTGAACTAATTTCAGTATCTATTTCAGAGCTGTATTTATTTATGTTTATTTGGCTGTTACAATCCTGTATGACTACCATAAGTCCATCACATGATGTGTGGACCCTTTTTGTCTTAGGATTGCTAATTCTGGAGGTAGTTAAACTTGTTTGCCTGATGTTGATTTGAATTGTCATTCAATGGTGTTTTGAATTGATCAACAGTCTAATCTCTTCAATAATTATCATGGATTTTATTAATGCATAGTAATTACTCTTGATCGGTGTAGCTTGATCGTCTGGATTCCTCCTGCAAGCCTTGTAGCAAAATATTAGTCTCCAAAATGTGCTTAAGGCCTCTTATTGATTTTGCATAAATGCCATTTCAAACTTGAAAGTCACATAATAAATTAATATTCATTATGGAGAAGCTATTGTCTAAATTTATTTATATTATGCAATATCTTACAGAAATAGATTTTGAAATTTAAATTTGAACTCTTTACCTACTTATTATGTACCGCACTACACTGTTGTCTTTGATCTTCACGCCCATCCAATCTTAAAATCTTTCCACACAAAAGACATATTTTTAATAAACTATGCATCTCCAAATCTGTTATTTCATGTGTATTGTACTTTCTTTCATTTAAACAATTAGATGTAATGTGCAGAGGATGGGACTGGTGCAGCCTTCTTCTGCACATAGTTGGCTTGGCTCTGAAGGTAGCTCCTCAGGTCTTATTGTGAAGAAAACCATCAGGGTTGATATTCCTATAGACAAATTCCCTACCGTAAGTTCTTTCTCTTTGCTCAAGTCTGAGCTTTATTACAACTCAAACCCACAAGGTAGTTCTAGTTTTTTCCTCTTTTTCTCAGTTCAATTTTGTTGGGCGGCTCCTTGGTCCTCGAGGAAACTCCCTAAAGCGAGTGGAGGCAAATACTGATTGTCGTATACTGATTAGAGGGAGAGGAAGCATCAAAGATCCCACCAAGGTAAACCATGGTTACATATTTATGTATCTGATTTTGCAATAATCCATGGTTACGTAGATGTGTATCTGCCTCATCAACTGATCACCACTCCAAGGTTCCAAATATATGGAAAGGAACATTTTATGTATTAAAAAGATAAGTTCCATAGTCAGTTTTGACCTTGATATCATGTTAAATTGTTCTTTTGGATTGTTCGTGTAAATATTATCGTTCAACAAGTTTAGAAGGTATGGTTATATGAGGAGACTGACTGATTCTCTTATCATATCTGATGAATACTACTCAACTGAGTTTTCATAAAAATGCCAAGATTTAACATCCAGAGCTTAGTTGTAAATTTTCATCTTTATACTGTCCCTTTGTTCATGTTCTTTTTCTTGTTTGTGTCATATGAATGAGATGCTACATCATGTTCTGCATCTTATTAACCTGTTCTGGTATCCATTTGAAGTTTATGTCTGTTCTTTATTCTTCTCTGCCTGTGCCAATTACCTTGGGCTCAGTATCCTGTTTGGTCAAGACTGTAACCTTGCAACTTGAATTGTCTATATTTGACTGCTACTATTTCGGTGATAATTTCTGTAAGAGAAGGTTATTAGTGGGAAACCAGCATATGGACATTTGAATGTCTTGCTTAGTATGGAATCTACAAATGTATGACTGTTCTGTTTGTGCTACTTGTAGGAGGAGATGATGAGAGGAAAACCAGGATATGAACATTTGAACGAGCCACTTCATATACTGGTAGAGGCTGAACTGCCAGCAGAAATTGTTGACACTCGTCTGATGCAAGCTCGTGAAATCCTTGAAGATTTGTTAAAACCCGTGGTATATTATTTCCCATCCCAAATTTGAGTTTACTTGACATCCTAAGAGTTTTGCATATCCTTTTTCATTTCTCTCTATCTTTTCTTTTATTCAGGAGGAGTCACAAGATTTCTTTAAGAAGCAGCAGCTACGAGAGCTTGCCATGATCAATGGCACACTACGCGAGGAAGGGGGGCACATGTCCGGTTCCGTCTCCCCCTTCCACAGTAGTCTCAGTATGAAGAGAGCAAAGACAAGGGAGTAACATGTTTGCCGATTGGTAGGTCCTCTATGTGGGGCCATATTCTACCTGCCTGCGGCAGCTAGTTTATGTTGGGATTGCTTGCCAGCAAGCAATGCATCCCCATCGGAGGCGCTGGCACCAAGGTCGGTTCTAGCTCACTTCGTCGGTGTGTTTTTCTTCAGTTGGTGGGTTTGGTGATAATTATGCAATACCTAATGTGAGAATGTGTCGCTTAGCAAGTTGGGAAACTAGGGTATGTCATTGCATGTGCTTTACTGCCATGCATGAATTAAGGGGAAATCATAGATGAGTACATTGGTTCTGAATAATCTGAGTGTGTCCTCAAAATGCTTTTGTAGTATTCTGTATGCATGGTTTTATCTTATCGAAGACTCTGGTAACGGCAATATATAAATTATTTCGTTAGCTACAAAACCTGATTTAGTTCCAACTTGTCCCATTCTAGATTCTGGTGACATGATCTATTATGGATGCCATAGATCAAGTTTACACCAAGAATCTCTCAGGAGTAGTTTGTTATGCTTAATTGTTGGTGATCCATAGTCTGCCTTTGGTATCTGGAGATTGTTGTTGTAATCGTATAGTCAGGAATTCTATGAATCTGTGCCTGTGGATGCTACTAGAGTTGGATTATTCTTTACATGTTGTTGGCTCAAGATTAACGATTGTGTGTGCTACATTCAGTTCATATTTATCATGGAATGCAATCCAATATTGCTTCTAGCAGTTGGTAGAGATTTTGATTTTATAATAGCAAGATGTTGGAGTCGAAGTTCAAAGAATTTTTTTAGGTTGATTCAAATTTATGCTTATATTTAAAAATAAAAAAATATTATTAATATTTTATTCTAACTTATTATGATAATTTTGATTATAATTTTAGGAAAAGATAATGGAACCATTTTAGAAGGGAAATTCGGTTAATGCGAATAAAAAATTGAGTTTTAAGGGATAAATGCGAATAAAAGAAAAAAAAAACACATTTATGGAATATTAGAAAAAGAACAGAAAGTCCAGCTCGCAAAATAATCAACGGTTCTGATGCATCCACAACGATCAATCTTTTGCTCTGCTAAATCGGACGGCGCAAAAGGAGAGGAAGTGAGCAGTAGTACACCATAGACGGGTTTAAGCGCTCGTCTCCACGAGTGCCCAACCTTTCGGTTTTGGAACCCTAACGGGGAGCTGTTGTCGTCTGCCTCCTCTTCTGCCTCCGTTGCCTCGCCACCTTCCCGATCCAGGATGAAGCTCGTTAGGTGATCGATCTGCTCGTCTTCCTCTTCGCTGTGGTGCTTTTATGATCTTTGATGTATCTGTTTGTGATAAATCTTTTGCTAGGTTCTTGATGAAGCTCAACAACGAGACCGTCTCGATCGAGCTCAAGAACGGTACCGTTGTCCACGGAACCATCATAGGTACGGTTATCTCCTTTCTGGTTCGAACTAGGGTTTTGGGTGAAAACCAACCAACTTGCTCATGGATCTCTGCTCTCGGTTTAAGGTCTTGAATCTTATCTCGCTAATGAAGGAAAATGCCTTTTTTTCTGGTTTGATTGCATCATTTGGTTCATTAGGAGCATTTTGTCATAGATTACTAGTTTCTGTCGCCTTTAGATCTGAGATGCATAAGGACGGCTTGTTAAATCTTTGCTGTGGCGGTCCAGTATGTCCAAAGTTTTAGAAGTTCTTTTGACTTTGAAGGTGATGGACTAACTTATTACTGATGTAGAGTAGATGATGAAAGTAATGCTTTATGCCCCCGATCTTTGTATTTTGCCCTAGTGAAAAGGGTTATTATTGAAGTAGATGATGGAAATGTGGTTTCTGGTTGTAATGCTATTTGACTTGAAAACTCAAAATTGATTATGTTCTTGCCCAGTAGCTTATTTTCATCTTTTTTTCTAACTTGTCATCTTTTATCTAAGGAATCCAGTGAGTGCTAGGTTACGGGGAATTTTCTATTTGGGGAATTTCCCACTTGAGGACTAGAAGTTATATATATGCTTTTTACATTAATTCACGATTTTTTTTCCTGGAATTGATTCATCAGTTACTTTCCCTTTAATCTGCTTAGTGGTTTGCTTTGACATTCAAACTGTTATTCAATAATCATGAAATATTTAATTTAAATGGGGGATTATGGAAGGACAATAAAAGAATCAAGATTTCTTTTAAGATTAGATGTACTGACTTATGAGTGATTGGAGATGGATGTAGCAGGAAAAATGAAGGGGCAATCTATGATTATCAGTGAGATGGTGAGTGAAATTAACTTTTTGTATCCATCTATGCTTCTAAAAACTAACCATTCTTTGATGCTCATTTCCCTTATTTTCCTGCAGTTGTTATGAAAATATTGTATATTTTGTTAAAGTAATTAAGCCCTAGAAAGTGGATCAATTTATGGGTCCAATAACTAGATATTTAAACATGTCATCACTTTCAAATTTCACTTTTTCAATTTTATTAAAAGAGCTACTTCCAGGCAAGTGTTATGCTTCTTTTGAGCTTGTACTGTTATCATAAGATATGGGAGTAAGTTACCGTGTGGAAGCTTTTATCTGATACTAAATACTCCTTTTGCTACTAATTTCATGTGCAAGTCTCTTCCTCTACACCCTCTTTGATCTCTCTCAACCAACCTATTCAGAGTCATTATTTTCCAATTCAAGATACTTGAAGCCCCAAAGTTTTCTTTTGACAATGTGCTTTGTTGCTTGATGAGGACAAGTGATTTACCTTATATGGTTGGAGGTGGAGGCAAGAAGCTCCAAGTCTCTACCAGATCTCCCTTTCTATTTTTGTCACTATTCATATTTTAAATGCATTAACACTCCCGTAATAGCCTTTAAACCACTAAATGTGTCAATTATTTCTGGAAGTCAAGACTGGACTTACAACCTTACTGGTTTACTAAGATTCTTCTGATTATAAAAGGCTTCTTAGAACCCTCTTTTGAACTGGCTGGTTCATCCTTAAGGAGTGATAGGTGTACTGAATGATTTTGGAGAATTGTAATTATAAAAAAAGGAACTTAAACAATCGACATGGATATCAAAGGTAATTACAAAATCTTGAAGGATTAGTTGTGCTGTTTATCTATTGTTGTATGTGTTTTTTGGAATGAGTCTACGTTATTAAATCTACTGAAGATGGATGTGTATGCTAGAGGATGGCATTTTCATTTTAAAGAATAGCTCTGAGGATAGTAGTTAGAAGGGTTACTAATATGCTAAACATGCATGGCATTTATCATAATGGGTATATGAGGCATGCATGTTATTCATGCCCGGTAGATGGGAATGAATTCCAAGAAGACTTATCACTGTGATCATAAATGAATGACTGCAGCGGTTTGGTGGACCTGCAATAGGAGAAATATCCTGTATTGGATGTCTTTGTCAATGTAACACTTAGATTGCTAGTTTTTTTGGTGCATCTGATGTATGATCTGATAATATTTTCATATGATGTTTTATTTGGTTGATCTTATTATTGATGTACAACATTGTTGGCCCAAAGTTAAAGAATAAGCTCCAAATTTGTGAAATGCACGTTAGGTTGTTTGACATCGATCTTCATTTTCCAAGACTTTTCTTGGAAGGGATTTTACATTTGTATACTTTCAAAGTTTGGAAATAGTGGATTTGCCCATACAACTTTTGATATAGTACATTCTACAAGAGAAATAGATATTTTAAGAATATATATAAAAAATTGGAAGAAAGTTGAAGGCTTGAAGCTGATAAGCCTACATCATGGTTGGAGCCACAGAGAGAGCTATCTGATCTGATGGGTATTATTGTCAGTTGGAGTTCCAACGTCATTGTGCTAACCACCAACTAATGGATATCAACACAATGAAAGTTGCAAGTTCTGATTTTTGTAGGGATATACATGTTAAAACTAAAATTTAGAGGAGTAAATGCAAATTCACTTACTTTGGGAGGATATATATGCAATTTTGTCTTTTCCTCTGAGATTGATAGGGAACAACAAAAAGCATGGTAAACATGTCTAGTAGCTAAGCCTAATATGTTGTGAATAAATTTGTATTTAATTGTTTTCAGTTCAACAGTAGCTCTTGAAAAGTCACTTCTAGGTGCTGTTAACATGTCGCAGGCACCACAAGCTGCATCTCGTTTCCATATTCGCAGCAGTGCCTTTATAGGTTTTTTATAGTAAGATATTCAATCCCTTTCCCTAGTTGCCATCCTTTCCTCAAGAATTGGTTTCTGGTGACTCTTGGTTTAGCTTTGTTGATCTTCCAAAGTTTACATACAAGGATATATTCTGGGTGTGAGGCATGAAGTTTAGTTGCATTTCCTTGTTCCAGATTAAGCCATGAACCTTACAGTTGTCACTTAAGTTCAAATGGTTGAGGGATGACAGATGGTATTGCTTGACGACCCATTAAATGCCAATTCCTAATTGGTTGCTTCATTGTATTCACTGTTGATTTCATTCATGTTTGCAATCCGGCATATCTGATCCCTTCATGGTTCTTTCAGGTGTGGATATTAGCATGAATACTCACTTGAAAACTGTGAAACTCACAGTGAAAGGGAAAAATCCAGTCACTCTTGATCACCTAAGCGTGAGAGGCAACAATATCCGCTACTACATCCTGCCTGACAGTCTGAACCTCGAGACACTATTGGTCGAGGAGACACCTCGGGTCAAGCCCAAAAAGCCAACTGCAGGTATACTATAAATTCGACACATTCCCTACGCTTAAGCATTTATACAACTCATAGACGAACTTTTGTCTTACTGTGTTTTGTTAATCTCAAATCAGGGAGATCCATGGGACGTGGTCGTGGCCGTGGCCGTGGACGGGGACGAGGTCGGGGCCGTTAACAGCATCACTCTCTTCATAATTTTTTGCATCATCATCTGTCCGTGTACAAATAGCCTGCTCTTTATCGAGAAGTATCATTTGGAAGCTTCTCTTCACAAAATGGCAAGCAGGACTATCTGTTTTAGCTCTAAACAGCAGTTAAGTTTTTATCCAGTAGGACCAAACTTTAGAATCAAGTGAAAAGAAAGAAGAAAACAAGAACTGTGTGCTGTAAGATTGTTCTGTATTTGTGGGCTGCACTAGAATTGTTGTATTCCTGCTTGTTTGGTTCATATACGTTGTTGGTTATCAGAGACAAATCTGAGTTCTTGCAGCTGTAGTTTTGCTTCTCGAAGATGATGTGTTATGAGGCTGTTCATATTATTTTCTGCTGTTGTCTCATCTACGGTTGCTGCTTCTTTAAGTTGATATCATTTGGGAAATAGCAAATATGATTTAGAGAGGAAATAGCAAATGTGATCAAGAAAGTTGACTCATTAGCCCCATCGGTGCTGAAGATTTCTTGCGTTTGAGATGGGATTTGACTGTACGATTTTTTTGTTCCCATGGTTTGGTTTTTACAAGACTGACTTCCCCAACGAGGCTCAGTTTTGATGGTCAATTAGGAGAACAGTTTAGAAGTATCAGTTATGGAACACATATGAAGATGACAAACATCATGTATGATTTTAAGTGTATTAGCAAAAGCTTATCATTTTAGGACTAATAAGGAGAATAGTTGTCACATCAAAAGTCTTTGAATTCTTTTTTTGTTTTTTTGCTAGAAATCTATCTAGGAACAAACAAGAACTAAACAAATCAATCTCGATCAGGAGAGTGTTAACAAACAGAGTCTTATCTCCAGTTTTAGATATGCTTATGGATTTTATATGGCTTTCATAATATTGTTTGTAACAAGAGGAATTAATAATTGTCATAAAGGTGCCCTTCAAAGTTCAAACCCATTTACAAAGGATGTTTTCTTACTAAGATTGCTTATCATTACCAATGTTACATTGATTCTAATATCAGTTATCACAATTTAATGGGATAATTGACTAATTAATCTTACTGAACCCGAAGTATCAAACAAATATACTTAAACACAAGGTAATGGTGTTAAAATATATTTTACTCCTATAAATATTATATTCAAGTCTTATCTTATTTTTGATGCGAGACTAAATCATGTGTTGAAAAATAGTCAACAATGGCATTCTAATGCATCGTTAATTTTTGACGGTGCCATGTGACTATCGAGCAACAGGCAGTTTTCTAAGAGGAATCAAGACAAGAGACAACCTTGCCTATTAGACACAAAACAAGAAGAAGAAGAAGAAGAAGAAGAAGAATTCAATGATTCATTGAAATGGATTCTCATTCTACCTTCAGTTAATTTTCTACAACATTTCTTTATGAAGCTCACAAGAAATGGATTAGTATCGTAGGTAGAACACACAAACCATCAAGGCACTGCTTCAGGTTTGTTGTTGGCTGCTGATAAACCAAATGACACCACAATTACAATGGCCACCGCCGAGCAGCAGAAGAGTATAGAACTGCAAAGAAGTAGTATTTATTAGATTAGATAGAGAGTAAGGGAGATAAATTGACATGATAAGCCTTTGGTCAGAAAAAAAAATTGTTTTTTATCAATTACCTTCGCTTAGGTTGAAATTACTCTTACGGCAAAAGATCTCCAAAGGGTCTAAATGTTGCTGTGAAAGTAGGATTTTGCCCAAGCATTCTTTTCTGCGATAAATGATGCAATAGTTTACAGCCACATCAGCAAAGCAATTGAATAAATAAAATGATGGAAAATGCAAAATCAATAAAATTAAAAAGAGATGCAAAAATAGACCAAGTAGTTAAAGATGACATGCAGATTTGGCATTTGCAACAGGATAAAATAGCAGCTGCAGAAACCACCGCATAATCTATCAGGTTGACTTTGCAGAGACTACAAGGTCCAAAGGGAATCTCATCTTGTTAGTAATAGTTATTGAAGATGCGTATGATTTAATGAGATATGACCATTTATTATATCCACTTAACAGAGATGGCATGTGCATCAGCTAGCAGTAGAAACATCAAGTAAATAAAATAGCATTTGCCAAAAAAAAAAAAAGAGAATATGTAAATCCACTTCATATCTATAAGGCTGATCTATTATCGCAGAGACCACAATATCATACCCAATGGAATCTCATCTTGTTAGTAACTGTTATCTAAGACAAATTACGATTAAATGAAATATGACCATTGTATCATATCCACTAGTTGAAATAGCATATTTCACAAGTTAGCAGTAGAAACATCAAGTAACCATTCTTTCTGTATATTTGGTTGCTTTCATGGGATCATTTCCAACATTTGGTGTATTATCTGCATGCATTAAAGCCTTATCAAAGAATACTCACTCAGCCCAAGAAGGACCATGCTTCCTTCTGCGCATGTTTTCTTCCTCTCCATCCTCATCATCGGAGTCTTTGTATGGAGATATCTCATATGATTGAGAATTCAGATTTTCTTTAGTGGTAGACATCCTACCTTGAATTATTCCTTTCATACAATCGGAGCTGATAACCACCTTCAATAACACAATTAAAATAAAAAATCAGGAAAAAATAAAAATAATTGGTAAAAAGACTAATTTCAGAATAATTGCTAGAAACTTTATTTTGAATGTAATAGCTGGAATGGCCTGTGTATATGTATATATATGCATCATGCATATATATATATAAAGAATCATACAAAGACTCTGATTTTTATGTACACAAAAATCTTCATGGCCATTAATTTACTGAAACCTTATGAAGAAATCCATCAGGTAAAAAAGCCATCGAACTCTCAGAAAAGATTCAAGTGAAATAAAAGTTTTACTAAAAAAGTACAAACAAGTTCACTAAAACATATAGGTCAACATCCTCTAGATAATTAGTAATTAGCATGGCATTCAAAAAAAGCATGTTAATCTTGGGATACAAAATTATCATTTCACAGTTATTTAATAAAAAATGATGATGGCACAAAGCCTCTATCCAGGGACTACCTTGGTGGCAACCGGTTCCACTTCCATTGTGTTTCTAGACCCAGCAACCTCCCCTCCTTTTTCTGATTTCAGTTGCTGCTTTGCTTCTAGCACCAGACCTTTCTTCCTTCCCTCATCATCCTATGTCCATGATCATGTCAATGAAGGAACAAAATGTCCAGAAGATCTAGATATAGTAATGTATACCAAATTAGAACTTACTGCAGCTTTACATCGAAGTTCTTTTTCCTCTTTCTTTGTATGTAACCTTTCATCCTGTTCTCTTTGCAACTTCCGAGTTTCTTCAATGCATCTTCTTTTTCGTTCCTTCTCCTTCCGTTCTTCTTCTCTCTGCCTCTTCCTATCTGCTTCCTTTCTTCTCTTTTGCTCCTCCAACTGTTTTTGCTTAAGTTGTTTCTCCTGCTCTAACCTTTCACGCTCAAGCTTTGCTGCTGCTTTCCGCATCTCACGTTCATTTTGTTTCTTTTCTTCAAGATGTTTCGCAGCCTCCGCTGCCTCTAGTGCTTTTACTTTAATATCTTTCTTTCCTACAGGGTAACAACATCATCATGCTAAAGGACTAATGCAATCACGAGCAGTGAGCCAGTATCACACCGATCTGGGTGATATCAGCTACAACTGGAGAAAACTACTAATATATGCAAATGTATATGAACATAGAACATATGTATGGAAATATGTTTAACATTATAGAATCATAGCACATAATTTACCAAATATACAAGATTCATTAACATCTATACTGACACAATCTAGTATGAGTCTTTCTTAGGGCCCATCATGAACATAGCATTGCTCTTTCTGACTCTGAAACAATATTACAGCAGTGACTCATGAAAGAAGTCTGCAAAACAGTAGCCACTGAAAATAGCCACAATATCTTGAAGAAAAATAGCCACAATATTACAATTTCTAAGCAAGACTACAAAATTCAAAATGCAAATTTGAAGATTAGTATATTAGCATAAGAAGCTCCACAGTATATTGAGGGAAAATTAAAACAAGACATCATGTTCAGAGAACTTTGTAACAGTACTGGCAGGGCCTTGAACACAAATGCCATATGCACAGAAAAAGTAATTATTAGATCAACATCAACATGCTTTAGTATACAATGTGTACTTAGCAGGACAAGGACTCCATACTTATAGGACAAAATTTATTAGTGGTTCAATAAAATTAATAAAAAATACAGATTACTCGATAAACTGGAGATCACAACCTTCCACAATCAGAGCTCACCATTACACATTCAAGGCTCAGAAAACTAGAGTTAATGGATAAATTGAACAAGGTAGTCTCAATGTGCTGCATGATCTAAATTTATTTGAGACTATCTGGATTGTTCCAAGAGATAAATTCAAGACCAAGTATATGGGCATCATATAAGAGTAATGTATGTACCTCCAGCACTCTTTGTTATAAATTGGAAAGCAAGCTAAGAGATTCATTGCACAGGTGTTTACCATTATTACGCCAATAGGTACATGCCGACAGACACAGCCATCCTTGCCAAATAGCATGGGCTCTTCACCAAGTTGATTCTGGCACAACATTGGCGTGGCAGTAAATGATGTTATGATACTATGCAGGCAAACTAGCTAGCACAGCATGGTATAAAATCAAACCCATAAGTTGCTTAATTTCCAATAACCTAAGTAAACACCCATGTAGAACAATGTCACAAGGGAAAATTCATATATGCACAATCAAGGTACAGGGCAGAAAAAAGAAGGAAGCAACCAAGAATGCAAGAGATCAACAATTTGCGGATGTTCTTATCTTCTTATCTCTGGCAGCAAATTTAGGTTTAGTTATTTCATATAGAGTTGACAAGCGATGAGATGACATTTAGATACGTACTCAACATATGTTTTGAAAGCTAAGTAAATTTCACACTAGCGTTAATAGTACCAAATTTTCTAGTGCAGGAAAAATAAACAGAGAGAAAAAAGTTTTAAAGGAAGTTGACGAGCGACGAGCAAGGAAGTATAAAGGACCTTCTAGATAGGTGTCATAAAATTTTCCCATGATCATAAGATAGATCTTTATACCAATCAATAAGATGACATTTAGATAGGTACTCAACATATGTTCTAAAAGCTAAACAAATTTAACACTAGCATTAATAGTACCAAAATTTCTAGTGCAGGAAAAATAAACAGAGAGAAAATGGATCACCTTTTGTAGTTGTTGCTTGCTGCTTTTTCTGAAGCATTGGGATGAAAGAAGATATATTGGAGATGATATTGCTTGGCTTACAGCCTTTCAGAATACTTGCTTGGCTTCTATTCCTTTCAACTGCTTTCACATTTATTTCTGGCTTGTTACATAAGGATTTAACCACTTTCCCCTCTTTCTTTCCATTAATTGAAAGACATTGATTCTCCTTATCTGCTGTCAGATCTTTATTGCCAGTATAAGCAGTTGCCAATAGCGAATCAAAACTAGTCTGAGTTCCTGAGTGGGATTTCGCATTTGAAAATTCTAGACTGCCACTTTCAAGGAGCATCTTGGTAAAAGGAACAAAAGTTGATGCATTTTCGTATACTGAAGTGACATCTTTAAGTGATTCCCTATTATTCAGAACTTGGATTCCTCTTGAGCAAATCCCCTCTTTGGAGGTGCTTAATTTATCCTGACGCTCAATATCTTCTGTGGTGCTAGAATTTTCATCAATTCGAAAGCACACAAGTTCAGGGTTAGTACCCACTGTCTGTGAACTGGCACCACTTCTACTTGAAGCCTTTCTCAAGGCGGAATTTTCAATTGGAGGTGTCCGAGGAGCTTTACTACTTGCCCATGCAAATCTAGCACTGAAAGGCGTGCTATTGGAAGAAGACCTTTCCACAAACGAACAGTCAAAAGATGAGCCCAAGCTGTTGTAAAGATCAGAAATTTTGTCATGTTCGCTTCTAAATTGTCTTGTGTAATCACCATAAAAACATAGAGAATCATTGTGCAGGTGCTCCAAGAGGCCATTAGGTAACGACTGAAGAAGATCAGGAATGTTGTTGATTTTATAGTTTCCTGAAGGACGGGCCGTGGGTGTAACCAAATGTGTAGAATTGCCTTGCTGCACATCCAAAGGAATATTTTCTTCCTTGAAACATGGATAATCAACATCATAGCAGATATCATTTTTCTTAACAGGAGATACACCAATACTGAAACCCTCGAACTCTGGCATGGAATCATCACAGTTCATGGCCAAATCATTCTGAAAGTTTGACAATACAGATGCACCATATTTGCTCAAACTTTTCCCTGCATCAAAAACTGTCCCCTCCTCTATAGACTGTAAATTGTGGCAATAAACTTCAGATACTACATGACTCAATTTTCCATCAGCATCGTTTCCAGAGGAGCCAGGTTCTTTTGGTTCAGAAAGAGTAAACTCAGTGCCACCAATTTCAATCATTAGAGAGGGCCTGGAGTTTCCATGGGCCAGACTGGGAGAAGTCACACCTTTTGTGCATTGAGTTGGCAAGGGAATATCCATGACTTGGTCTTTACTTTTCAAGCAAGAGTCATCCTACCAAGTAAGACAATTATTAATCTAAAAAATAAGACAAAGATAAACCAAATCAGCAAGCAGAAAAGCTTCATATAGGCTTGCAGATCATGGAAAGAAATTCATAACAACATAAACTTGCAACAAGATGCTTCTAAGGACTATAAGACACAGTCTGCCTATAAAAAACACAGGAAATTCATTGTGAGAACATGGAGAGAGGGTAAGGGAGTGATGGATAAAGCAATTTCAATAAAGCTTAATAATAGAATACAACGTACTTCCAAGTGATTCTCAATCTTTCTAATTTGCTTTAAGGTACAGAACTACATACTGCATCAACTAAATTGCAGAACTACATATATCTTTACTACTTAGACATCTCTATAAATGAACATGTGTAAACATAGACATATCAACATAGCAAACTAGACTACTATAATATTAGTCCAAGTAATTTCTTTTAGTATAACAAAATAAAATGACCTTTTCGATACCTCTTTCAGACATTGCCTTTTGCTTTGCTGATGAAATTCTGAATTGCTCCTGAACTCTGCATTTTCTATATCCATATTCAATACATTTTCAGAGGGAGATGGTGTGATCTGCATTTCTTCCAATGGAACAATTTCTGAGCTCACTTTGCTGCTACAGCAAGTGTCTTCTTGAGTATGCAGGAGCCGATGAAGTGTTATTCTTGAAGTAGCAAGAACGCCATCTGAGTAACAAATCAACTTTCTCCTCTTAGGCCATGATATTTCACATGCATCAGTCATTAGTTCACTTGATCGTTTTGAACTAGTTGTATTACCAGTTAAATTTAGTTCTGAATAAGAGTAAGTCTTCCCATGCCTGTTCAAGCTTCTTAAAAAGTACCGAGATTCCGATGAATGATTCTGAGTTCTAACATTGTATGATAACTGAGTGATACTCTTTTCCATTGCATCCATTATATTTTCACTGTTCTTGTCCATCTTGGTTACTGACAAAAATTTCTCTAGTGAAGGTGAAATATAAGCATTCCCTTTACTAAGACCAACATCCTTTGGAACACTAGTAAAGTTCCTCAGAGAATAGCTAGCTCTTGTAAGCTTACTCTCCATTTTAGCAGCATTTGGTGATTTCCTGGTGAGGATTGTCTCACGAACATCTCCAGTTGTGGTGTCAATCAAGTTTTCGTTGGCTGACAAAGACATGTAGTCATCTGAACAAGGCAAATCAGAACCATCAGATATAGAAACATCAAAATTTGCAGACGAACTTCTTAAATGTTGACATCCAAGTCCTGCAGAATCATTTTCGGCAGTATCTACAATCAGAGTGGATTGGGAAACTTCTGCACTACTGTTTTCCACTGTAACAACCTCAACCACTTCAGTTTCTAGGCTAACTTCATCTATCAATGACACTGAATGAGCACTCTGAACATCATCAGTCAGTTGGTCTTGGCTGCAAACCGATCTTTTTACAAGCTTTCCTTTGCAACTGCCTTTTGTTCTGTGATCCACTAAGCTTCCATCAGACTGTTTCTTAGAAGAATCAGTTGCACTTACCATCTCCAATGATCTTACAGCAGGAACATGTGGAGATATCTTTGCACATAATCTAGATCCAACCGTATCGACAATGTTAAGTAATTCATCTCTCTCCACATGATCTTTACCACTAATTCTTTCAGCTTCCTTTCTTATAACTTCCGTAGCAGCCAAAACACTCTCATGTTGGAGCTGCTTTTTCTCTGATAAAACGAGCATTGTTTTAGAATTTCTATGGAGTTCTTCATCTTTAATACACTGAAGAGATTCTGAAAAAGAAAACTCAAAGCAACTGCCCTCAGTTTCTCCTGCAAAAGTAGTGGTACGGTCCTTGTTTATATCATAAGGCTTAATATTGTCAGACAAGTATTGAATTTGTTTGACATCAGAAATTATCTGAGGTTGTCTGGTGGCTACAATGCTTGCCTGTCCACTTGTAGTAGGTTCACCACTTCGCTGCATCGCTGACTGCTCTGTCAGGCTTCTTGATGGACTTCCTTGACAGACATTATACTGAAAACTTTGATGATCTGAAAAGTTCAAACAGGATCTTAACATTGAGGTAGAAGATGTCGGTGCATTGGTCAAATTCAAGTTTTTAGTTTCCTCAGACAATGATGAATGCTTTTGATGATTCATATCGTATGTTGTAGAGAGGGGACAACAGTGTGATTCTATTTCCTTTCCAGTTGAATCTCTAACAGCTACCACTGCACTTTGCACAACTTTAGCATTCGAGGCATCCTCTCCAGGCTGAAATGCTCCAAAGTCAGGTGCAGAATCCTTGCATAGCGGATCCTCTTTTAATGATGGTGCTGACTGAAACTTCCTAAGTGCACCTGAAGTACAACAAAGATTATTTTTCTGAGAAAAGGAACCATAAAATTTTTTATCCTGATGGCAAGCTTTTATACCATCAAAACTAAGTTTCTTCACAACAGCCAATAATTGATTGTGAGAATGATGAGAATTTTCAGAGGGTACTGCTTCCAGTCCAGGAACAACAGAATTCGATCCATTTAAGACAAACTCCTTTGCAAGGGCCCCTGTACACTGTTCCTTGGCTGAAGCATCATGAGGAGAGTTGGCTATAAGATCAGGTGCCTCTCGTGATACTGTTTGCATAAAACTTGCTTGGTTTGCAGTTGCTTTACTAGTGATGAACCCTGAAGGACTTAATGGTTTTGATATGTTGTCAAGAGATGGAAGACAATCAAGTGTTTGAGTAGCTATACCATTAGGAACCATTGAGTTCTTCATATCTGATGTTTCTTCATCATGTTCGGGCATCAAAGACGCAGCCATGGTGCGAGTTGCTCTACGAGCATATTGTTTTACGGTACACTCATTTCCAGAATTTGCAGCATTCAATTTTTGGTTAAGATGACTCTCAGGTTTCCATTGCATTGACCTGTAGCATTGAGCACTTGCAATCTGGTCAAAGACAGGTGAATCCTTAACATCTTCAGAGCATGCAATATAACACTCTTTTTCATGATCTTTGTAAATAGCATCACTTGTGTCTCCATCATTGTGCTCTGGATAGATACATTCATTAGAAATGCACATTTCACTTGCAAAGCTACTATATTGACACATATTGGTACTCTTGAGTGCAGGCAGGGTGTGGAGAGTGTTGTGATTTGTCGAAGGAGTGGTGGCCCATGGAAGAGGAAATATGATCCCTTGAACACGCTGCTCCCTGATTAACTCTGCATAAAAATAAATATACTATAAAAACTATATACGCTGAGTACTGTGTTGCAAATCCAGTAGCTCACTGAATGTGAGGCTCTTTTAAAATTTCCATAGGGTTAGATAAAAGTTGCCATGGCTCTTATTAGAAGTATACATTTGATAAACACCAATCCCCATACCCAGCATGCACATGACAATGGAAAAAATCAAACAACAAAATAGTTAGGAAATAATTCACTAAGTTCTTCCAACCACCCACATAATACCCACAAAGATCACCTTCAAACCGCCAGATATTTCCCTCCAAAAATGAAAGGCATGCGAAAAGTCCTTATCTACTCTCTTACTAAATAGGACAGAAATCAAATTCTTACCTTTTTTAACATTCTTGTCTCTCCTTCCTTACCGCACACCACACAGAATGCAGAGCTTAAAGGTTCCAATCTCTCTACTGCTTCATATTCCAAATTCACAGGCATCCTTTAGTGTAAATGCAAATCTTTCAGCTTAACTTGAGTTGTGTCTTAAATTGTAGATTTGCAATTGCCACTGGCATCTCAGAGACACAGAGGTCCGAGCAGCCTGCCAACCAGCTCCTAGAGAAAAGGAATTGGAAAGCTGTTGCCCAATTCAATGTCATCCCAGATTGTCTGCCTAAGACATTTGAAGCCTTAATTTGCATTCTACGATATTGTTGCATATGCCTAGCTGATTTCCCAAAATTTCCATCCCAAACAACACATAGGAATCGCTATTGCAATTCTAGAACCCAAATTGGACTGGATAATTCACAGATTTCATAGAACAACTTTCCGATTTGTCAAGGCCAATGAGAAAAAAGGACGAACAATCGCTCGATTCAGCGAAAAGTACGAAAAGAAAGTATAATTATTGCAATTCTAGAACCCAAGACACAAAGAACCCGAAACCAAGTGAAAGATCCAGGAAACCCAGGGCAAGGAAGACGGCAAACCTTTCGGGCGAAGGGCGTCGGATCCGGTGTCCCAGAGCCAGGGAGGGGGCCGTCTGCCGTCGGCGAGAAGGTTGTAGGCGAGGGATTGGCCGTACGACTCGATCTGCTCCCTCAGCTGGCCCTCGATCCAGGCTTTCCGGTCGAAGACTTGCATGAAGAGGTGCTCCAGCGTCGTCGTCATCCCGGTCCTAGTCCGGTCCGATCAAGAACAAGAACGACGGATTTCGGAACCCTAACGGCAAGAAACCCAAATCGAGGAGAAAGCCATTAGGTTTAATCGATACCTCGGCGAGAGAGACCGAGAGAGAGAGGCCGGTGAGCGGGGAACGATTTGAAATGTTCGAAGGTGAAGAGGGGGGAGAGGTTTGAGGTTAACGTGTACCGAAGGAGAAACTTATGCACACAACATTAATAGAAGTTGGCCACCCGGAAAATGAAAATAGTAAATAAATATAATAATAATAATAATAATAATAAAGAGATATTTATATATTTATCATTTCAAAGTTCAAAAGTTGCCACATATTTTATTTAAAATTTTAAATATGAATTTCTTATATATATGTTAGAGTTAATTACTAGTAATCATAGTTATTATTATATTTTAAAATAATAGAAACTTTTGATATCTTAAAATATGTTTCATTACTTTTATCAATTATCCAATCCCTTATAATTTCTAATATTTTTGAAAGGAATTATTGCAGCAGCAGATCAATCTATGCTTCTTCAAGAGTCAGTGATGCATTTTATTGCAGCAGTCATATTAAACTCCACTTATCAAACCTATGTAAAACTCATTATAACATGTTTTGTAATGCTTGTACCGATCATTCTTTCAAGAAATGTCACAGCATACCTTACCATAATATAAAAGGTCACAATGATTACATATAACTCTTCATCACATGAATGGATGGAAATGGTTGATCGGATGAGTTGCATAAGGATGATTCTGACATCTCACAAGCATGCAATATATGCATTAAGAAGGCATACAGTAACAAATAAGCTGTGAAGAACATGTTAATATAAGCACACTTGATACACAAAATTTGGCACAAAAAGATTGGACATCTCTCTATCTGAGACTCGTAAATGGAAACTCGGCGCGACATCCAAAATTCACCCAGCCTTTCCATCTGCATACTGCTACTCTTGTGCAAAATGTCTAGTAAGGAAGTTGTGTGGTACTAATGTTAGACATCAGTATATATTGCTAAATGAAGCCTGGAACCACATGTCAAAGAAACCCTGGTGGTCAGGTCCGCTTGAATCTCTTCTCGGATGTTGTGTTGCCATTGGTGCCTTCGTTGCACCTTTTAATCAAAGGAAAGCAGTTGTTAGATATCATGTCCAGCCGCCTGTTCACATCTGCCAAGCCGTCGAATCTGCAAATGCTTGTTGCTATGGCAATAGTTGTAACTTCAGACCTAGGAAGGAACTTCGCCTCCAAAGCAGCATATTGACCACCATGAGATTCTTCCCCTGCTGCATTCTTCAGACTGCGAAGGACCTCATCCTTATCTTGAACAAAGCTTCCTTTAGTAACCTGTAAATTTTATAATGAGTTTAAAGCTTCCTCTAGTAATTTCCTTTTTCAGGATTTTTCTTAGGCTAAAATCACAATTGCTTGTTTTTAAATGCAAGTACTTTTGATAAGATGCCGTTGGGTTAGCTCCTGACAGAATGGTTAGCATTTCAAATTTTATTCTTATGAGCACAGAGGTCCAAATTGCTCTAATCAACATCACAGATGTGCAAGTGTGTTTGTATTTTTAATACTAAAAAAGAAAGATACAAGATGTTCAAAGAAGTACAGCTACTGAAAAGCACAGTTCATGTTTTCAGTTCTATAATTGGAGAAAGTATAAAAGAAATTTTAGCTAGAAAACTGATGGTTTCATACCTGAAAATCAATTGGCCACTCAATGGAAGTGGATGGACAGCTACAACCATCACAAAAGTGAAAAGTTAACAACATCTTGAAGGGCCTTTTTCTTGCTGTTTCCCTGGAAGATACAATATTGTCTTAAGAGGAAAAGGAAGTAATAGATCTAAGGCAAATAAATAAAATCTTTTACAGGAGGAACAGTCTATACATTAACTTAATGACGGCACCTTTTAAGATGAAATGGCTGCTTATCTAGGAAGGCAGCCTTTAAGTCAGGTCTCTCAGGAAATGATATCTGATGGCAAAATAGGAAATTTGAGTGTCTTTATGGAATGACTGTGAGATTCCAATACTAATAAGCAAACAAGGGGAGATGCATTAATGACAAAAAAATGAGATAATGAGATGACAAGGTTGGTGTTTAGAAAGCATGATAAGACAACTTTAAATTAGGCACTGCCCACAGGATCCAAGTCATTTTAAAAGTTTGTTTATTAACTTATTGGGCACTCTACAACGTCAATCTACCTCCATCTAGCTGACTCCACTGGCAAGGTGCCTGGCACTTTCTTGAATTTTTGAGCCAAACAACAGCCCAGACACCTAGATGGGGCCTGGCAGCTAACTAGGTCCTTATGGTCCTCCACTTAATTTTAGAGGCCACTTACTACAAATAATTATTAGTAAAGGATACCAGAATTTGATTTCAAGGGGGATAAAAAAACACGATATTTATCATTTCAAGTAATTCAACAAGTGCAACTTTTTTTGTAACTAATTAGCAAAATATGAAATCATTTTATGTGCATTGTGCAACCAATAACAACAATAAATATGTGACTTGTTGAACATTGATTTTTATACTTGTTTTTTAGCCATGATGCATATTATTGTACCTTATTTTTAAGATGTGCTAATTTTTTTAACTACTTTTGCTTATCTAAATATTTTGCATCTTCTACCAATACACATGTCGAAGGCACATAAGTGAAAAGCTATCGCGTCGAAGAGTGAATATGATGTATTGTTTGCTTTTTCAAAATTATGAATCGTGAAAAATGCTAGAACTTAATTTGTAGTAAAATTTTGTCTACGTGCTCACCAGTGTGCCTAGGCCTCTCATCTTAATTTATGGTAAAATTTTGGTAGCTTGCTTTCTATTTTGGATTCCATTCCCTCCTTTCCTCACTCCATGTCGCTTGTTACATCATGCCACATGATCTCCCCTTTGCTTCCTAAAAATTTGCTTTAATAGATTTCGTAAAGTTTTGTCGTCTCTACAATCTACATCAGATTGTCCGTAACACTTGTTGTTTGTGGAAGATTTATATTCTCTTGAAACTTCTCAGAATATGCATGCTGTGAGTTTCTCGATACCAACCATACAATTACTATACATGCATTATATTCTTAATAAGTCAAATACACAAGCCCATATTATAGTAGCCTAGTCACTAAGATACAAGAAAAAAGCACACTGAGATACAACTTGACATAAGCCACAAATTTTTTATTGTTTTACAACCCTGTACCAGGGTATAAGATCCTACAAAGCTAGCTGCAAAATATTTCAATCCATGATAAACATCTTAGTATCAAGTCTTCATGCCAGGGCTGACAATTATATCTTTTTCACATCTTTTGAAAATAACTTTTTCCATTATGGCTGTCAATTCAATTGAGAACTTAGAATCCCACTCGTGTTTGGCTGTAATTCTATCTTGATTAAACTCGAAAATAAAGCTCAAAATTAATATATATGGGTATATATTAGGCTCAAAATTTAATTCTAGGCAAGCCTATATAACACGAGTTGCTTTAGAAGATGTCATATATTGGTCATTGACCACTCAAACCAGCAATTCCCCATTCATGACACGTTTTCTCCTACCTTATTATCGGTTAAGTTTCTCAGGATAAAAATGCATGTCAACTGTCCACTAGCCTATCCATCTTGACAACAGATGGGGATTGGTGCTCCAAGATTAGTCATGAATAGCAGCTATATAAAGTTATTTATCCATCGATATGAAAGCAAAAAACAAATTAGCAGTATACAATAGAATATTTGAGAGAATCAAATTTGATAGAATACTTGGGAGAACTGAAATCTGGTTGACTAATGAATATAATTTTTTACCTCAACTGACTTCAGAAATGCTAATGGAGCTCTGGGTCCATGGATACTTGTAATCCTCAGAGTCCATTTCACGTAAGTGTTCTCTGGATTGTCAAAGCACAAAATAGAGAGTAAGATGACCAAAACCCAGAACTTCCTTATGCAAAAGCACAAATCTGATGTTTTCCTTGGTATTATACAATATGCTGAAGTATCCTCAAGCCTATAAGCTTTCCATGCATGCAGTGAAAGGAAATGACATAATAAATTTATTGTTGTGCTGTAATTTCAGTTTTTTTGGCATCGTAATCTTTTAAACATGAACTGCTTTGAATGCAGCCTAAACTTCAACTTTCACTATTGATATCATTGTACCAATCCAAGGCTATTTCAAGGATAAATTTTATTGTGAAGGATGAAGAAAAATAAGAAAAACATAGTAGGTGAATTTAGCTGAATAATACCATAACTTTATGCATAGACTGACATTTTGCCTGGATCGGTACAAAACAGGCAGTATGTACCGGGCCGGGCATGAACTGATAAGTAAAATGCCCCCATTTCGAATTGTCCAATCCAACCTATTAGAAAAACTAAAAAAGAAAAAGAAGAAACTTATTTAATGCTGCTGGTTTAGGGCTTGCGTTTGTGAGCCTTCCTTGCTGTAGATGCAAAGCTTGCTGCTGCCTGTTGCTGCCCACTGCCTGCCTTGCGTCGCTAATTTCAGGTATGCTTCCTCCTTCTCTTCCTCCTCCTTCATTGCTTCCTCTTCTTCTTTCCTCTTCCTCCTCCATCCTCCTCTTCCTCCACCGCCTCCTCTTGTTACTTCTTCTTCCTCTTTTTCCCTCCACTTCCTCCACCACCTCCACTTCTTCCTTTCCCTCCTTTCTCTTCCTCCACTGCCTCCTCTACTTCCGTTCTCTTCCCTCCTTCATCCTCTTCCTCCACTAACAGTCCTTCCTCTTCCAACGGTATCGATATGTATCGGTACAAGATGACAAACCTTGACTTTAGGAATATGTCATACATTGTTGTAAATCCATATCAATTGTCTTATGCATGTGTACTCAATAAACCCATATGTGGCATATAAGATGATTCTCTCTAATGTATTATATGAAGCATCTGTTTTCCATGTTATGTCTACTGACATAATTCTATATCTAGTGCTCCTTGCTACCAAAGAAAGGAGGCAATTTACATAGAATGCAATTTGCATTGATTAAATTCTTCTTAATGAGCCTTTTTATCTCAAATGAAATACTGTTGAGTGTTGACATTCTAGATGAAGAGGAAATTGCAGCAAGAAAATATCAATTTGTGATTAAATCTTACTTTTTGGTGAA